GAAAAATATAAAACTTAGGTTTCTAAAATGTAATTTATTTCACACGTCCTGTCCGCCTCTTTGCTCTGGTGCCAACTAAAGGAGAAAAGGCAGCGGCAGTCACAGTTCTTTTATTTCACCAGAGGTTCGCTTTGCTGTGTTTGACACGCGCAGTTATTGTCTCAAGTATTTTTATAGTATTTTTTATTATGTTGGGTGTTGTCACTCAAGAAACGTTCTTCCGCAGAACTTCCCATCAGCAAACTAGAAAAACTAGTAACTGCATGCAGCATAGTTTCAGTTTGCACTACACCTGATCTTTGTGATGCATCAACAGTAACAACATGTTATTTAACAGAGCTAAATAAAGGCTGACAATTCAGGTTTGATTCACACTTTAATTCAGATTATAAAGATTATACCTAAATTATACAGATTATAATTCAGATCAGATTTATTTAATTTAAAGTAAAGTTCACACGGTGTTGCACTTTGCTATATGCTTTATTGATTATGAGCTTGACACACTCTGTCTGAGCAGCTTTTCAGCTAACATATTGCTCTCTCTCCTCCTCCTCCATCATCCTGACGTGGATGATGATGTCATTTAAGTAGGTGGCAGCATATGCAGCACCCATTCCATTAGGCACTGAAAAGTGGCAGGGCCTCTGAGCAAGCCAAATGAAAGTGTGACAAATTGGTACAAACTACGGAGTGGAGAAGGTTGTTTTTCCTTGAACTCCGCAGACAAGGGAATTTGCTGGTAACCCTTGGTTCAATCCAGTGTTGTGTAAAAGCGACCAGGGTCGAACCAGTCCAGGGGCTTTTCAAGCATCAAACAAGAAATATTTAACTGAACAGACCCTCACATTATGTATTCACTCAGTGCCTGCATCAATGTGGAACTAAATTCTCCTTGTTATCAGCCAAATATCCTTGGGTAAGATACGAACCTGTAGGTGCTCTCTGATCCATCTATTAGAGTATGAATGTATGCTACTGTTAGCTAGAGCACTTATGTAGAAAAAGTGAATGGTTGAATGAGGCAAGTTGTATAAAGCGCTTTGAATGCTGAAGCAGGACCAGTGAAAGGGACTGTGTGTGTGTGTGTGTGTGTGTGTGTGTGTGTGTGTGTGTGTGTGTGTGTGTGTGTGTGTGTGTGTGTGCGTATTCATGTTTTGATATATAATAATCAGTCTGTCTGAGGCAGAGTAAAGTTCACATGCTGATGTATGCAGACATCCATGTTGTAGCAACTAGTTTGAACACACTGATCACAGTTAAGCTCTGACACAGTCATACTTTCTTTAAAATGTTTTTATTTAATTATTTGTTTAGAAAATAGCATTTTTACTGCAAAGCAGTCTGTTTCTCTGTTTCCAGTCTATAAATCCAGTAACACTTTCTACCTTCACCTGTGCAGTAAAGATTGAGAGCAGAGATGAAACCAACCATCCAATCAATGAGCAGCATCAACACCTGAACTTTATTCAGACTTTGTTATAAATGAGTGCAGATAAATGAAATTATGTAAATATCCATTATGGATCTGGTACTTTCACAATTCAAAGCTTCCTAGATAGGTCAGCCAATGACGATGCAGCCTTTTGTTGGGTCTGAGACAAATAATTGAAACATGTTGCTGGACACAAAATTCAAAAAGAACAGATATCTGTAGAAAAAAAGACATTAAGAACACCACCATCAGAGGCAAAAATTAAACCTTTGAGAAACTTTTGTTTCTCAAGAGTACCCCAATTTTTCCAGTTATTTGTTGCATTTCAAGTTGTCCAAGTCCAATGACTAACTTGAAATGGTACAAAGGTAAGTGTTGAAATACCAGAGGTTTAAAAGAAAGGTAAGGTAAGGTCAAAACTGAAACATAATGTACATTTCAGAATTATACAAAAAGGCCTTTTGAGACACAACAACATGGGTTAACAATTGAAAGCTGTTCTATAACACAGGAGGTTGATCAAGCCTTGAAAGGGGCTACTAATTCCTACAGGTGTTCCAACTTTTCTGCATTATATACAACCTCCTCTGTCTGTATAAAAGCAGTGTTGGAACCCACTGTGGTACCATACCCTCGTGAGCAACAGCTGGACAGTATTGGACTGTAGAAAGTAGCAATTAACAATCAAAGACAGACAGACCATCATAACACTTAAAAATAACACCTAAAGAGATATTGAAAATAATGTAAAGGTGTCAGTGAGTACAGTTTCCTTCACCATCAGAAGGCACTCAGAAACTGGGACAAACTTTGACAGGAAGAGGTCTGGCAGAGCCAAAGCCACAACTGAATCAGATGACAATTTTCGAAAGTTAACAGCTTGCATAAAAGGTGGCTGACAGGACAATAGCTTCAAGCACAGTTTAATATTGGTCGTAATTAGCAAGTCTCAGTTTCAACTGTGAAGAGAAGATTTTCGAGCTGTAGGTTTGACAGGACAAGTGGCAGCAAGAAAGCCATTGCTAAGACATTAGAATAGGACAAAGAGGCTTGCCTGTGCCATGACACACCACCATTGGACGACTGGAATAAGGTATTATGGACTTAGAAATCAAAATTTTAAATTTTCGGTTCATCACGGAGGATCTTTGTGGGCCGTCAAGTAGGCGAAAGGATGGTTCCACAGTGTGTGACATCAGCTGTCAAACATGAAGGAGGAAGTGTCACAGTATGACAGAGGTCTGTCATTAATGCACCAGAGAAATGGACAGTGGTTCCTCAGAGTGACCCAGGGAATGGTTACTTTGTCCCATTTAGATGAAAATTATCTTAAATTATCTTAAATTCTAAAGGAAGATCTGAACAATACTTTTGTCCTCATCACTTTCCAAATCAATGCAGCACTCCTTCAGAGAGCACTTCAAAGTCTCCTGAGCTTAGAAACCAAATTAAAGGTGCAATCTCAATTTAATAATGCTGTCTTCTTCCCTTTTACTTTTCACAACATACAAACAGGTGTTTATAAGTTTCTGTATGAATTTGCTGTTTATGTCCTTATTTTGACACTAAGTCTTCAGCAGCTGACTCACTCTTACCAGTAGATGGCACAATCTCCTCATTCTCATTTTCCATTAAGTGACTCTCTGTTTTTTTAATTTTTAATTTTCCAAAAAGTAAAACCATCAGAAATGTTTATTTCTCTAATTTGATTTCATTTTTTTCTGTTTATTTTTCTACAGTTAATACGACAGGAGAGATATAAAAATATTAACAAAGAGGTTGATCCTCATCATGCCAACTGCTTCAAATACTTATTATTCAGAATCTGATCTGATCCTAACTATTTGTTCATTAGTGTGTCACTTTAATGTTTGAGCAGATATCATTTCTTTATATAGGTTTTTTTTTTCACCTACTTCAGCAAGTTTCAGTGGTGGTTATTTGGTTATCAAATATCCATTGTTTTCTTACTTACTGTCATACACACCGTCAGGCTGATGTTTCTCTCACATGTCACGCTGGACTGAATCCAGAAGGTATCTTGGTACAGTCTAGAGTCCGAGGCAGTCAGGTTGTTGAGAGCAAATGAAGTAGAATCATAAAATGTCTCAAGAACTAGGGATAGGGTTCAGACTTCTTAAAAATTAAAATTAAAAAGTGTTCTTAAGCAATAGTTATCTTTGGACATTCCACCTTTTTTTCACTCATATTTAGTCCAGTCCCTGTAATTGACCATTTTTAGAAAAATGTTTTTTGTTTGTTTTCTGAATTTATGTTGTATATTTATGTTTGAATGATTCATCATTCAAACATAAATATGATTAATCATTCAAACATAAATATACAACATAAATTCATAAATATACAACATAAATATATGTTGTATATTTATGTTTGAATGATTAATCATTCAAACATAAATATACAACATAAATTCAGCAAAGACCTAAGATATACCTCTGGACTTTCAGTTGATCCTTGTACTGTTCACTTAAAATAATCACAGGTGGTCCCAGTGGAAGAGTGGCTGTCAAGAAGCCACTGCTAAGGAAGGGAAATGGGGAGAAAAATACGGGGTATGCCAAATTACATAGGAACTCTGTGTCAAAATCAACAGGTGGCAACAGGTCTGATGGAGTGATGAAAACACATAAATCACTATCAGTATGTGTGGAAGTCAAGAGAGAGGATCAACAGTGAATGTCTACAGCCATTTGTAAAACACGGTGGAGCAGAATGTCATTCACAAATCCTGGAGAACTATTCCGGAAGACTACTTTAAAAAATTACAAGAAACCTGCCTAAGAAATTTCAGGCTGTGTTGAAGAATAAAGGCCTGCTTCCCATTTTCGAAATATAATGAAATGAACAGTTACCCAAGCCCTTCAACATTTTTTCATCCTTTATCAAATAGATGTGCAGTGAAGAGTGACAGGAAAGTGGAGGAGAGACAGAGGGGAAGGCGTGCAGCAAAGGGTCGTGGGTTAGACTTGAACCCAGACCGTGTGTGCTCAGCCATATGGCACTCCGATGGCATACAAACAGAATACCATCACACGGGAAACAGAACTATCACAATAAAATATATATGTGTAATTCACACTGAGATACAGAACTGGGAATAAACATGGAGAAAGAACTAAACCTACACTAGAGACATAACACACAAACCATGGAAGGCACAGGAACAAAACCTAAGAACTAGAAATCACAAAATACTAAATAACTTAGGTCATGTCCACACTAATACATTTTCGTTTGAAAAAGACTCTTTTTCTCTCTGTTTTGGCCTTCCGTCCACACTGAGATGGCGTTTTTGGTCAAGGAAAACTTTTTGAAACCTTTCTCCAAAGCGGATACATTTGAAAACGCTGTCGCAGTGTGGACAGCGTAACCACTGGCTTTCGGAAACAATGACGCATTTTAGTCATGTGATGCAGTCATGTGACTAATTAAACTAAGATAGCAGAGAGCATTATACAGTAGTTGTTTTGTTTGCTCTCAATTTTGACAGCCCTATTAAAGATTAATTAATATCAGTTTGTACATGCTTCAGATAGCTTTTCTTCAAATTCTTTAATTTTCAATCAGTTTTGCAACTTTGTACTTTTGTGTTACTCACAGCAACAACTACATCTCATTATTAGTCCATTTAAAAAACTCTGTGCTTTTCCTCAACATTTTGGTGCGATGTTTTGCGATGAATAGCCGGAAAGTAAATAAACGGCAGACAGAAATAACGCAGGTTGAATCATCTTACATTTCACTCATGCGCAAAACAGTAACATAAGCGTTTCAGGTGTTTCAGTGTTGACGAACAACTGTTCGGAAATGATTAAAAACACTAGTGTGGACGCGTAGTGTTTTTAGCCAAAAATGTTTTAAAATTTATCCGGATTAGTGTAGCCTTAGGAAGCTAGATATACAAAAGACTAAACTATGAAAAACATTAAATCAAAGAAGATTAAATATTAATAAATAATCAAAACACAAGCACTGGGTCACCAGACCCAGGATCATGACATCCGGCAGCTGTTTTGCTGTGGCTGCATTAGAGATATGCATACAATAAAAATAAGCTCTAAGCTAAAATTCAAATAGAAACAGTAAAATATGATAGTGATTGAAAAAGTCGTGAAAAATAGTAATGATATCAAACATCAGCTCAAACTGAGCAATGTATTCAAAATACAGAAGGTTGTTTAAAAGGTGCTTTTGGAGGTAGTTGTCATTTGTGGACAAACACATCTGTCTTTGTTTTTGATGCAGCATTTTATAAAATTCAGATCTGAAATCATAACAATGAAACAGCTTAAAAAAATTAGCATCAAAACAAATCTAATGTATATTACCAAAATCCACCAGATTCTACTCCAGGGCCCTTTGTGATAGATTTCATGTTTCATTCAAACTAAAGTGAAACACAGCATATGCAGTGCTATTCAGGCACATTAAAATATTCCTAAGAATGGATCCTTGAATAATTGTAGCTTCCATCTTTAAAGGAGTGAAGAGGAAGAAGTTTACAAGGAATCATTTAGAACAGTTTAAAACATCAACTCATTGAATCCATTAACCTTAAAATGCGTAGAGTATTTCTCTAACAGGAGGACACTCTTTATACTCAACTCAGCACAGACACACTGAGGCACCATGAAAAGACAATAAAAATCCAGGATAAACAGGTTCAGTGAATGTGGTGTTGAAGGTGTGGAGGCGGATCAGAGTGCCAGACGAGACTCTGTAGAAGGACATAGTGCCAGCAGGACAGTCCACATACACTGCTACTCTGTTAGAGACAGAGGAGGAGTAGGAAGAGGAGGGGAGGATGGTTGTGGATCTGCAATTGTGACAGACAAACTGAGGACCACCATCAGTGCAGTGCAGACTCCAGGAATGATCATTGAGTCCAAACCAACAGTCATCATTGTTTCCTTTCCTTCCGATTCTTCTGTAACTCACTGATATAGAAATGTTTCCCTTCCACTCGACCTCCCAGTAACAGCGACCAGTCAGTTCATTACTACATAGCAGCTGAGGCCAAACATCAAATCTGTCTGGATGATCAGGATATGACTGAACCTCCATAATATTATGTGTCACCTTCCTGTTGTTGTCAGACAGTTTGAGGTTTCTATTTACTGTGCTTGTGTCAATTGTGAGTTGACAGGAATCTGATGGAGAGAAGAAACACAATCCAACTGCAGTTATGGAGCCATCATCTGTTCATTGATTAACACTTTGATGATGACTACTGACATCGGAGATGTAAATCAGTGATGTGACAGTTTGAAGATGTCAGTGTTGTGGTGTGGTGAGAGAGAAGAGAGAACCCAAATGCAGGACTTGCAGGCAGATTGACGATGTGGATGGTGTTTATTGCAAGGACTGGACGGACAGAACATAAACTGACTGAAACTGAATGACTGGTAGACTGAACTGAACCAGAAAACACACATGCAGATTAGAGGACAAGACAAGTAACTGAGGAAAACCGATGACTTAAATATACTGGATAATGAGTTGAAAATAAATGAGTTTCGGTGGGCGGCCGCGTGACCAGTTGCTAAGATGACTCAATTTGGGTGGATGACCGCATGGACAGCACGTAAGATGAATCAGTTCGAGTGGGCAACTGTGTGGCCAGTGCCAAAGACAAATCAGTTCAGGTGGGTGGTTGTGTGGCCAGCGGCAGCACCCGCGATGCTCCACTGTGGACCAGCAGAGGTGATGGGACACCTCTAACAGGTGGGAAGGTTGCTGGTGGCGTGATTTGGCAAAGCTCTCTAGTGGAGAAAAAGCAGGACCCGCAGGTGGGAAACCTCTGGTGGAGACTTGGCACCGGAACAGGTGGAGGAATTGGCCAGACCCTAGCCGTCCCAACTCGAGAAACAAGTATGGATGCAGGGATGGGTTGAGTGGCTTCAGTGCAGGGACAGGTGCAGGAGCTGGCTGGACACCAGTCACCCAAGCCCGGGGAACAGGTATGGGTGCTGGAGTGGACTGGGTCTCAGCTGTCCTTGCCCTGGGAGCAGGCATGGGAATGGGTGACGGCTGGACGTCAGTTGCCCCTACCTGAGGAATTGGCAAGGGTGCAAGGAAATGCTGAGTGCTATCTGCCCGGGGAGTGGTACAGGGACTGGCTGGGCCCTAACGGCACTGCGAACAGGAGCAGGCTGAGAGACAGGTCTTGGGGCTGGGAGACAGGTCTTGGCATGGAGACAGGACGAGAGAAGTGATCAGATCTGGACTTAAGAATGTCCTTTGTGAAGCCAAAAAGGGAAAAACAGTTTTTATGGGTGCAGGGTGGTAATGACATTTTTTTTGACAGTCCACCATAGGTTGACAATAACTAATCACTGGCTTTTTTAGTAGAAGAAATGGTATTTGGTCTATGGTGAGGAGGAGTCTTTGGCTCATGGTGAAAATGAAGAAAAATGTCTGACTCACTCACCACCAGATATTGCAGCTTGCGAGAGCAGCGGCAGCAGCAGCAGCGGGAGCTTTGGCTGAAACAACAGACCTGCTGAATGATGTAACCTCCATCAGGATGAGATGGGAGGCGGAACCGCTTTGACACGACAAGGTGGGAGTGCTAGTGAATGAGGCAGTAGGTGGACGCATGAGGACCGAGCAGCCGGAGATCAGCGGTTGGCGCCTATTTCCCATGGCTAAGGCTCGCGTGCAGGTGAGGCAGCAGGTGGAGGACTGCAGTGCCTTCAAGGACTCTCCAGAGCCAGATGAATCCCCTCAAAGACATGCTCATGTTGGAGCATAAGCCACAGATTAACCCCCAGCTCTCTTTCCAGAAAGAAGAATGCTGCCTGCTGCCACTGGTATAATTCGAGGTCCACTGGGTTCATATCATGTCTTCGCAGCACGAGTCTCGTCATTCTATCAGCATCGTGGTGTGGTGTGGTGAGAGAGAAGAGGGGACCTAAATGCAGGACTCGCTGGCAGATTGGGGAAGTAGATGGTGCATATTGTAAGGAATGGATGGACAGAACATAAGCTGACTTAAACTGAACTGGGTAACACACACATGGATTAGACTGTGACAAGACAGGGAACTGAGGAGAACTGACGGATTAAATACACTGGATAATGGGGATGATAAGAAACACGTAAGTACATAGCTGAACTTAATCTAACTAACAATACATAGGAAGTGGAACAGAACATAATGCACACAGAAAGATAACTAAGACAGTAAAACAGGAAACGGGGATAGAAAACTCAATGGTGACAAAGCTTAACTGGAAACACTGGGTCAACAAGCCGGGCATCCTGACAGAAGATGGTTGGATGTGTACTGCTTTGTTTTAATAAATCACATTAAAAACACACTTACACTTCCTCAGACCTGGTTTTAACCATCGGACTCCAGCAGGCTCCAACCTGGAAGGAGGAGGGGAGAGGAAAAATCATATGTCATTAAGATTACTTCCAGTCTGAGTTATTGTCTGATTACTGACAACTTAATGAAGACAAATAGAGAATTAGAAAATCATTCATTTTCAAATATATATTCTATTCCATCAAAATATAACAATAAAAATTTAATTGCGACTGTTGTTGGCTAGCATACAATGTTAAAAATAATAAAATGAACAACAGCAGGATCTCTGACTGTGGTAATACAAACCTAAATATGTGAAGAAGGCAACAAACACTGATCCTTGAATATTTTATTTATATATACAAAGATTTAACAGCACGGTAGCTAACAACACTATACTAAGTGAACTGCTGTGGATGATTATCAGCAAAGCACATTTTGTTCAACAAAAATCATTCTCAGCTTAAGCGTAGGTTTTATGTTAACTGTTCTCTACATTCACAGCTGAATCCAGAATAAATATGTTCAAGTACTCTCTTCCTGTTCAATCAAACACTCTTCCCCATACCTGAGAGTCTTAAGTCTCCAGCGTGGATTCTTCAGTCCAGCCGAGAGCAGCTTTATTCCTGAGTCACCTGGATGATTGTAGCTCAGGTCCAGCTCTTTCAAATGGGAGGGGTTGGAGCTCAGAGCTGAGGCCAGAAAACTACAGCCGTCTGCTGTGACCAAACAGCCTGACAGACTGAAAACACACAACACTCCATCTGTGAGCTATGATTTTCTGTTTGTCAGATACAATAACATTTTTCAATTTCCATCCATTCAATTTCATTTACCTTTATTTATAAGAGACAATTCCCAATGGACAACAATAGTCACTTCAAGTTAACAGAGTAAGGCAACACACTACAATATTAGCGAGAAAGCTGCGTCCAAGATGCAGCTTTGCACATTGGCATACTCCCCCATATTGCTTGTCTTGTGTGTTTATGGTGTTATGATGTGATGATATTTGTGCTTTTTATGTGCTGAAGTTTTTTTGTCTTCTCCTCATGCCAACTACTTTGGGGATAAGTTGGAGCAGAAATTGTTTTTTTCTCCTGATCTGCCCTTTTGTGTTACACATTACACATTCCTGTCTCCCTAACGTGAAGTTTGTGTATTGTATGTATGGTCAATATAATAAAACCTTTCTTCTTTCTTCTATTAGTTATTATAACCCACTAAACACTGGACATAGGACAGACATGCAGATCCCATTGGGTCCATTCTGGACATTATACGACATCCAAACTAGGTCCACAATTTGGACTTCCAACCACAACCCAACCTGAAGGTCAATATGACATTCACCTTTTGAAATTTGGACTTGGCAATTTTTTATAGGTCATGTGAACATCTATAACAAGTGCAGAGAATATACACATTTAATAACATAACCCAGATTTTAAAAATGCATAAATAGTAAAAAATAAGTAAAGTCTAAGATTATGAATAGCAAAGAGATAAATTCATTTATTCAATTTCTTTATTTTATTAAAAAGTCAAAATTCATGTAAAATGAGTAAAAACATATGTGCATTGTTTAATATAAGCCAAAAGCCAAGCAACATATTTAAGTTATCTAAGTGATTTATATGTCATCTTTAACCTAAGAAGCAAAAGACCGTGGCAGATCTGAAAACGCCAGGAGTCCGATTTTCTCGCCGGCTCTAGTGGGCCTTGACCTCCTTATCAGCTATCGAGCTGGTGAATAACAGGTGTCTCCGAAAACATCAGAGCAGTTTTGCCAATATGTGATGTCTTAATAAATCGAACAGATATTTGAAGTTTACACAGCTACATTTTCATCTTTCGGCTGAGGACCAGGTGGAGTGCCCAACCCGGGTCAGGGACAAGTTCCTGCCCCAAGTGGAGGAGTTCAAGTATCTTGGGGTATTGTTTATGAGTGATGGGAGAAGGGAGCGGGAAATCGACAGACAGATTAGTGCTGCGGCCGCAGTGGTGCAAACGCTGTTGTGGTGAAGCGAGAGCTGAGTGTAAAAGCGAAGTTCTCAATTTATCGGTCGATCTACATCCCTACCCTCACCTATGGTTATGAGCTGTGGGTAGCGACCGAAAGATCAAGATCACGGATACAAGCGGCGGAAATGGGCTTCCTCCGAAGGTTAGCTGGCATCTCCCTTAGAGATAGGGTGAGAAGTTCGGCCAATCAGGAGAAAAAGCAGGACCAGGATCAGTAGAGCCACTGCTCCTTCACATTGAAAGGAGCCAGTTGAGGTGGTTTCGGCATGTGACAAGGATGCCTCCTGGGTGCCTCCTGGGTGAGGTGTTCTGGGCATGACCCACCGGAGGAGGCCCCGGGGCAGACTCAGGACATGCTGGAGAGATTATATCTCTCGACTGGCCTGGGAATGCCTGGGTGTTCCCCCGCACAAGCTGGAGGAGGTGGCTGGTGAGAGGGAGGTCTGGGCTTCTCTGCTTGGGCTGCTGCCCCCACAACCCGGCAGCAGAAAATGGATGGATGGATATTCTCATCTGAAAATATCTTAAAAGTTCATTTTGTGACCCAGAAAGAGTAATAATACAGCTAAGTAGCTGACACCATATTCGGAAACTGGAACTGGCTGAGCCGTGCTATGAATTCTGAAATAGGTTGGGCCACGAACCTGACCCATCCTTCAAATCTGGGGAAATGAAGGAGGTGTTTGTCAGCGCAAACGCATTTGTTGACGCATTTTTTGCCCTTTTACTGAAAAGACTTTAGTTTGGAGATCTTATTGGATTGCTAAATTCTCAAGTATTAGCATAGGCCTGCAAAGTAGGATGTATTTGTGCGAGCTTTATGTTTAGTTTTTGGGTCAGTAATTGTTTCTATTACCAGTGGTCTACACTGTATGTGGGGATTCATTGTACAGTTAGTATATTGCTGTTTTTCGGTTAGCCCGAATATTAAAACATGCCGTTTTATTATTTTGGCTAATTAAAGGACTGTTGCGAAGATCTACTTTACATTGTGTATGGTGTAATTTACTGCACTGTTAATCACTACTGTTCATTTTCGTGGGTAATACTACTTTTACAAATCAGACAAGTGAATTAAAAGTAAGTTAAATTATACAGTACGAATGTACACTGAAAAAAGAACCCAGAGCCCACTTACTTAATAGCATTGCGTAAATAAGGCCAAAATAAGTATAATATTGCTTAAAAATATCAAAATTGTTTTCAAGAGGCTACATATGAATACAGATTATATATGAACAAATACTATTTATTATGTATTATCCTATTGATTTGTTCAGTACGTATTTTTTATTTTATTTTTTATTTTGCATTTTCCTGCTTTTGTTTGTTGAAATATTAAAGACATAAAGAGATTCAGTAGACATCAGGTCTTTGGGTCCTTGTGCTGCTAAAAGAGGAAAAGGAACGCAAATTAGCCATGTGATGTAGGTTAAGGGGCTATCTGATTAGTTGAGAGAGTACCCTGACTACCCTGCTGTTTGCATGCTTTGCCTTGCACTGCTGTGGAGAGCTTTTAAAGAAGTGTATGTACTGGATGTAGCCCGGATAGGAATTCCGCAGTAAGTACTTATAATTCCTATGGACTTTTGTCCAAAACTCAAACACAGCAATAGCGGAGAAGAGCAGCTAAAAGTTTTAAATATTATTGTTTCTGTGACACAAAATAAACTATTAAGATATTTTCAGATGAGAATGTAGCTGTGTAGACCTATAATATCTGCTCGATTTATCATATTTGCAAAAGTGCTCTGATATTTTTGGAGAGGTCTGTTAGCCCACCAGCTCAATGGCTGACTGGAAGGTCAAGGCTCATTAGAGCTGGTGAGAACAGCGGACTCCCGGCATGTCGCTTGACTGTCTACTAAAAATTAAAATAAAAGCGTTCTAACATCTCACCTGTTTGTTATTATTCGAGCATACATGTATAGTATTTGTTTTAATAGAGAGATTAAGCTTGTCTTTCTGTCATGCCGTGATTGTACTTAACTGTATAAAGCCTATTAGACATTATAAAACAAAACATATGTAATAGCAAATTTTGTCAGACTGCTTAAAATACCTTTTTAAACTCTTTTTTTCTTAAAGAAATCTACTAAAAATTGCTAGGTGGCAATTTTTCACATCATGTGTAATTTCCATTCTAAATATTAATCACAGTTAAATTGACGGGAGATGGCAGTAAAACTCTGGAGCTGAGATATCACCAGCTACACTGCTGTTCCAATTGTAGAATGATTTCCAGCTGACAAACTGGCCTGTAATGAGTGTGAATGTCAGTGTGCCGGGGGCCTATATGTGAGTATAGCGCATTTAGTATATTTACATAGCGTATTTCTGATAAGGTATCAGTGAGTTAACCACTAAGACTTAATATCATTTTAAAGGGTATTCAAAGAGTATATTTCATTTACTGAATGAAACTGTAATATCATTTGAGTTAAAAAAAAAAAGTGTGTTTTTGTACTTTGTCTGTCCTACCCTTATGTTCAGTAAATGTTCAGTTTCTGTCCTAAAGAGTGGTCTGGGGTCAATTCTTTCTTTAATGTTTATGCAGGGGTTTACTCTTAGTATCCCTGATTCCTGTCCATACGACAACCATTTGTGGAATCTGTGCTATAAAGAACCCAACACCCCAACTAGGAAGTCGAAACTGAGGCAAGCAGGGTTAGACTCAGTATAACGAGTGGGTTGCTACATGTACAAGGACTTCAGACCTTAAACAAGAGCAATAAACTGCAAAAAATCTGAAACCAAGTCTATCAAAATGTCATGCATGGATATATGAAGAATGAAGAGGCACTGCATTGTATATAAAATGAAATATACTTGGGGAAGACTACTACATTTATTATGGTAACCACACAGGTTTAAAGCTGTTTTGTGGGAGGAGCAAAAGCTGGTCTGGTATTTTGGGGAAGTCAAACCCATGGTCGGAACTGCTTCAGTAATGCGTACCATGAGTCTTATTTTTTAATTAATTGAAAATAATAATCCAAAAAAACCCCAAAAAACTGTTTTCTCCCCTTTATGAAATATTTACACCAAAATTGTTAGTGGAGAAAAAAGAAAGTGAAAAAAAAGTTTGAGAGAACTGTTAACAAATAGGTCACCTGTAATAAATGGGTTACAGTCTTATGAAACATTCCATCAGTTTTTCATTGCCCATAATGCAGGGGAAAGGTTAGAATAACAATTAAGTAACTTTATTATGTTTAGGTTTTTTCCTACTTTCTAACGAAAATATACTTTCTGTATTAATATGACTTAGAACTGATATTTGGGCAGGATTTATTTTCTCCTTCAAACCATGGGTGTTTTTTGAGATAATTCTCTCTCTCTCTCTGCTTTTTTGAGTCACTGAAGTTCACTCAGCTGTCCTATCTTCCTCTTATGATGAAGTCAGGCTCAAAATTCTCGTTTTTTTTTTGTGTGTAATTGTGTAATGTACAATCAATACTGCAAGAAACTTCAGAATACTGTCAGAAATTGGGATTTTATGTTTAGTGGACAGAAGTTCCTCTGAAATAAAGACTTCTGTTTTTTTAAGAAAGAATAAAAATCTCAATTTTAAGAAATGTAACATTATGTTGTACAAATTAAAATTAAACAGTGAATAAATATCACCAATAACCTCCTATACTGATTATTTCTATGAAGACATTTCTATAATGTTTCCCAAAATTCTATATCATTAATGCCCATAAGAATCTTAAACATGTCATTTGGAAGTTTTTGTCCTACCAGCATGAAAGGATATTGGTATGTCATAGACACATAATGGCTATATATATGCAAGTTTATCAGTTCATAAAGTAATTTTCTAAAAAGAAACGATAACAAAAACAAAACGTGACTATAAAAAATGTTATGACTGTTTTTCAGAGTAGAATCATCCACTCAAAGGTAAATAAAAGGTCACTTAACAATTGCTAAGCTTAGCTGTTTGTGCAACAATATAGATTTTAAATGACAGTGTATGAACATTTTTGAATCCTGACCTGAGAGTTTTAAGTCTACATTGTGGAGTCTCCACTGCGCCAGACAGAAGCTTCACTCCTGAATCGTGCACATTGTTGTTACTCAGGTCCAGCTCTCTCAGACTAGAGGACCGGGAGCTAAGGAACGAGGACAGAGCTTCATAGCTTCTCTCTGAGAGGTTACAGGCGCTCAGTCTGAAAATTAATCAAGAACATAAATAATATGTTTCATATATTTAATCACTTTTTTTTCAGTAATACTTCAGGAAACCTCATAACATGCAACAAAAAATGGATGGACTTTAATTGGTTAATTTTGAGAAACAAAATATGTCTTGATCTGACCTCAGACTAGTCAGCTTGCAGTTCAGATTCTGCAGTCCAGCAGAAAGACTGTCAGAGCTTCTCAATGAGAGATTACAAAGACTCAGTCTGAAAATTAAAACATGAACAATGAAACAACACTCGTTAAACTGTAATCAGGGTTCAGTAAGGAGCTACTTACTACTACAATTAGCGCTATTTACTTGCAGTGTGTTTTAAAGAATCCTTATCATCTGAGGTTAAACAGGTTAAAAATGTGACAGTTTCACTTAAAACTAATGTAAAAACAACAATTCATAAAGCTGACATTTATGGGCTAAATTTTTAACTGTTTAATTTTGTCAGCTGAAAAAAAAGACCAAAAGAAAAAAAATGAATATATTTGATCTGACCTCAGAGTTCTCAGTTTACAATGTGGACTCTCCACTGCTTCAGACAGAAGCTTCACTCCGGAATCCTCCATGCTATTGTTACTCAGGTCCAGCTCTCTCAGGCTTGAGGACTGGGAGGTGAGAACTGACGACAGAGCTCTACAGCTTCTCTCTGAAAGTTCACAGATGCTTAGCCTACAAAAAAATAAGAAAAAATACAGAAAGATTATATTTATGGCATTTGTTCAACCTAAACAATAAAAACTAATATATTGGAGTCCACTAGAAGTTATGGTTAACTAGAAATCTCTTAAGTCATAAAATGAAGGAAACTATTTAAATTTCCTTAAAATTCTAATTACACTTCTGTATTTGCATATAAATAAGTTACAGGCCGTTCAGTGCGCAGGGTCTTTTAGGAGATCCATCTGTGGTGATCTGAATTAGGCTCTCCTGCTCAGACACTGATGACGAAGTAGGCACGGAGGTGAATGGGTAATGTATCCAATCATTTAACCTGCCCGTCTATGAGAAGTATCAGCATAACTGCGCCGCCAGCTCCTGAAGGTGCATGTTACAGTCATGCTTTACACTGTTTGATAATGTGTGCTTCTGTGTTGTTTTTGACCATGCAGTTCTTCCAAAGGTTTAACTTCTTTATCATGGCCACAACTTTATCATAAACAATGAATATGATTGTAGAAATGCCTTGTAATCCGAGAGTGAGTTCGTTCAGACGGGAAAATATATCACACAGATGAGCCAGGCACGTAAGGTACTCTACATCATGCAAATGTTCAGACAGCTCAAAGGGATGGTTACTGAAGAAAACTTTACGTTCTTCCCTCAGCTCAAAGAAACAGGGCAGCACTTTCCCTCTTGAGAGCAAGAAAACCTCTGTGTGGAGTAATACAGTTTCAGGCTCGCTGCCCATCTCACTGCACGATGCAGCAAATAAGTGGGAGTTCAAAAAGTTAATAATTTTTACAGTGGTGTCCAAGACATGTTTCAGACGGACAGGTATTCCCTTTGCAGCAAGAGCCTCTCTGGATGCTGCAGTGTACCCAAGAAGCATCTGGCGCTACTGCCTGTACACACAAACCACACCTCTTTGTCTCCCAGTCATGGCCCATGCACCATCAGTGCAGATGCCAACACATCTGTCCCACACGAGTCCATGTGTGATCATAAATGTGTCCAGCTTTTGAAAAATATCTACTGCAGTTGTCCTTTCTTCGAGTGGTTTACAGAACAGCATGTTCTCCTTGACGGTTCCTTCATGAATGTTGTGCAAATATACAAGGAGCCACATCCGTGGACTCCTTCAGTTGTATTGGGTAAAATTCACTGTGGCGTATGTGCTGAAGTAGCTGCTGTAAAACATTTTCTGATGTTGCATTGATGAGACAGCATTGTTTGATGATGGATTCAAGGTTCTTTATTTGTCACATGCATAGTTATACAAGTATAACACACAGTGAAATGTAGCCTGACACGCTCCTCAACATGTGCAAAAAAATTGGGGGGGGGGGGGGGGGGGGGGTGTAGAGGAAGAACATTATATATATATATACATATATATATATAACCAAGTGGCCATAACCAAGTGGCCGGCATAGTGTACAGGACCATCTGTGCCGAGTATAACCTGGAAGTCCCGAGGTCAAAATGGGAGATGCCCCCAAGGGTGGTGGAGAATGACCGAGCTAAGATCCTGTGGGACTTCCAGATACAGACGGACAAAATGGTGGTGGCTAACCAACCGGACATAGTGGTGGTAGACAAACAGAAGAAGACGGCCGTAGTGATCGATGTAGCGGTTCCGAATGACAGCAATATCAGGAAGAAGGAACACGAGAAGCTGGAGAAATACCAAGGGCTCAGAGAAGAGCTCGAGAGGATGTGGAGGGTGAAGGTAACGGTGGTCCCCGTGGTAATCGGAGCACTAGGTGCGGTGACTCCCAAGCTAGGCGAGTGGCTCCAGCAGATCCCGGGAATAACATCGGAGATCTCTGTCCAGAAGAGCGCAGTCCTGGGAACAGCTAAGATACTGCGCAGGACCCTCAAGCTCCCAGGCCTCTGGTAGAGGACCCGAGCTTGAAGGATAAACCGCCCGCAGGGGCGTGCTGGGTGTTTTATATATATATATATATATATATATATATATATATATATATATATATATATATATATATATATATATATATAGTATATACATTGGGTGAATGTGCAGTAGTGGCAGCAAGCAGGTGAATTCTGTACATTAGACATCTGACTATTTTACAGGATAGACAATATAAACATATTTAAAATTAAAGGAATTGAAATGTACATTGTGCCTTGGTTTAGTGTCTGGAAGAGTCCTGACTCAGTCAATTATAGATGATGTGAGAGGGCGGGTGTGTGTGTTTAGGGCACGGATGGCTTGGGGATAGAAGCTCCTCTTGAGTCTCTCTGTCCTTGCCCGGAAGATGCGGAACCTTCTACCAGATTGCAGAAGTTGGAACAGTTTGTTGCCAGGATGGGACGGGTCCTTCAGTATCTGCGCTGCTCTAGTCCGGCATCTCCTGGCGTAGGTGTCCTGAAGCGGGGGGAGAGCAATCCTGCAGAAGCGTTCTGCTGTACGGATCACTGTCTGGAGAGCTTTTTGGTCATTCACACAGCTGTTCCCAAACCACGATGTCATGTTCTGTGTGAGGATGCTCTCCACAGCACCTGTATAGAAAATCCTGAGGATCTTTGGAGAGACCCTGAACTTCCTCAGTTGTCGTAGGTGATACAGGCGCTGCCTAGCCTTTTTGGTCTGGACCTAAATGTGGGCAGCCCATGTCAGGTCTGAGGAGATGTGGACACCAAGATACTTGAAGGACTGCACCCTCTCCACTGGAGCTCCATTGATGATAATGGGCTTGTAGTCTCTGTGCTGACCCCTTCTGAAGTCCACCACCAGCTCCTTGGTCTTGCTGACGTTCAGCTGGAGGTGGTTGTCCTGGCACCACGATGCCAGATTCTTTACTTCATCCATGTAGGCCGTCTCATCGTTGTTGGAGATGGCACCCAACACCACTGTGTCGTCAGCAAACTTCACAATGGTGTTGGAGCCATGGGTGGCCACACAGTCTGAAGTGTAGAGGGAGTAGAGCAGTGGCGAGAGGACACAACCCTGAGGTGCTCCTGTGTTGATGGTGATGCTGTTGGAGAAGCACCTGCCCACCCTCACCACCTGAGTTCTGCCAGTGAGGAAGTCCAACACCCATGCACACAGATGGCTGTTAAGTCCCAGATCCCTCAGCTTTGTGAACAGTCTGCAGGGCACTATTGTGTTAAACGCTGAACTGTAATCAACAAACAGCATTCGCACATAGTTACCCTGTTTCTTGTCCACATGGCTGAGAGTGGTGTGTAGGACGTGGGCGATGGCATCCTCTGTGGATCTGTTGGATCTGTAGGCGAACTGCAGCGGATCTGTGGTGTCTGGGATGGAGGAGGAGATGATGTTCTTCAGCAGCCTCTCAAACACCTTCATTACTACTGAGGTCAGTGCAACTGGCCGGTAATCGTTCAGGGATGAGGGTTTGCTGTTCTTGGGCACAGGGATGATGGAGGGACTGTAATGGACAGGGAATGGACTGTATTGTCTTTTTTGCCTTTTCCCCCAACATTCTCACTACCATATCTAAAGCAGCAGGGAGAATGCAGTCCTCCACAATAGTGTGGGGTTTGTTGTTTTTAGCCACTCTAAAACTGACCATATAAGATGCTTGTGGTCTGTTTTTATTCATAGGATCCGGCACTCGAATGCAGCTTTTACTTGTTTAAAGTGATTTTAGCTGTCGCTCAAAATGTTCTCATGGTTTATTTTTCAAATGGGGATGATTTGTCTCTAAATCTCTGTGCAATACTGAAGGTTTCATTGAGTTGTGAAACAATACTTGCACAATTATCACATTATGGCTGGGAAAATCCCCAGTATTTATACATGTGAACATCAGTGAAATATAATTGTCATCATATTTGCGCTTCTTTGTGTTACAGTCAGAGGTGACATGCTTTCTCCCACTTTGAGGCTCCACATCAGACCCTTCATTACTTTCCACATGACTGTCTCCTTCTATGCTAGATACTTGGCTAGTAACCACAGATACATTTGTGCTGGCATCCCAATCTGACAAACACATTGTTGAACAATCACCTGTGCGGTCACTGGCAAATGCATCTTCAGATATGAGCTGATTGGTGGTAGTGGCCGCTGTTTCGGTGGCAGAGCATTTTCTTTTGGTTAACCATTTGTCCATTTCTTCAACAGTGCAACTTCAACAGTCAGGCGTCAGTCAATTGGGGAAGTCGCACCCATGTATTTTGTCAGGGCAATTGTTTTGCTAAACACCAGAGGGTGGTATATACACATGTATGTAATAGCCACATTAAACTGTATTAGTGCAAATTTAGGCTTTTTGAATTGGTAATTACCCCGTCCCACGTATCACCTACAGCCTCTCCCATACCCCCGAGGGTAGGCGTACCCTAGTTTGGAAACCAGCGCAATAAAGAATAATAATATAGAAAAAACTTAACTCCCATATTGAACTGAGCAGTGCACTAATGCAGAGAAATTACTTTAGAACACCAGAGATTAAATGAATGATAACTGAAGAGTAAACAGTAACAGAACACCGGACTGGTAGATGAGTTTTTGGTACAAAGAAAACAGTTCTGGAAGGTACTTTGATAAGTGATAAACCCACAGATGTCTCAGAAATGCTGATAATTTCTGCTGCTCTGACAATTCAAAAGGATCATATGCTTGCAGATGATCATTCATTTGAATTTTTTAAGGTTTTTTAATGGATCAGCACCCATCACGATGTTTATATTGCTTAAATTGCTCACTTGATTGTTTTTTTGTTAAGTAGAATCAATATTTCAAAAATAAAAGGATGAGTACATTTTTACTTACAGAGCTTTTTTGGAGGCTTTGATCACCGGTAGGAGTTTTAGAAGAGCCTCCTCTGAAGCAGAGTATTTCTTCAGGTCAAACACATCCAGATCTTTTTCTGATGACAGTAAAATGAAGACCAGAGCTGACCACTGAGCAGGAGAAAGTTTCTCCGTGGAGAGACTTCCTGATGTCAGGCACTGTTGGATCTCCTCCACTAGAGAACGATCATTCAGTTCATTCAGACAGTGGAACAGATTGATGCTTTTCTCTGCAGACAGATTCTCACTGAGCTTCTTCTTGATGTACTGGACTGTTTCCTGACTGCTCTGTGAGTTTCTTCCTGTCTGTGTGAGCATTCCTCGTAGGAGAATCTGACTGTTCTGTAGTGAAAGACCCAGGAGGAAGCGGAGGAACAAGTCCAGGTGTCCATTTGGACTCTGTAAGGCCTTGTCCACACCACTCTGGTGGAAGTGCTTAAGTGTAGATTGTCCCGTTTCAGACTTCTGGGAGGTTGCTTGTTCTTCCAGCACATTAATTCCAGAGTTGATGAAGGTCAGATGGACATGAAGAGCAGCCAGAAACTCCTGAACACTCAGATGGATGAAGCAGAACACCTTGTCCTGGTACAGTCCACTCTCCTCTTTAAAGATCTGTGTGAACACTCCTGAGTACACTGAGGCTGCTCTGATATTAATGCCACACTCTGCCAGGTCTGATTCATAGAAGATCAAGTTTCCTTTCTGCAGCTGATCAAAAGCCAGCTTTCCCAGAGAATCAATCATCTTCCTGCTCTCTGGACTCCAGTGTGGATCTGTCTCAGCTCCTTCATCATACTTGACCTTCTTCACTTTGGCTTGAACCACCAGGAAGTGGATGTACATCTCAGTCAGGGTCTTGGGCATCTGTCCTCCCCTTCTGGTTTTCAGCACATCCTCCAGAACTGTAGCAGTGATCCAGCAGAAGACTGGGATGTGGCACATGATGTGGAGACTTCGTGATGTCTTGATGTGGGAGATGATCCTGCTGGCCTGATCCTCATCTCTGAATCTCTTCCTGAAGTACTCCTCCTTCTGTGGGTCAGTGAATCCTCTGACCTCTGTTACCATGGAAACACAGTCAGGAGGGATTTGACTAGCTGCTGCAGGTCGTGTGGTTATCCAGAGGCGAGCAGAGGGAAGCAGTTTCCCCCTGATGAGATTTATCAGCAGCACATCCACTGAGGTGGACTTGCAAGGGTCAGTCAGGATTGTAGTTTTGTGGAAGTCCAGAGGAAGTCGACACTCATCCAGACCATCAAAGATGAACACAACCTGGAGGTCTTCAATGCTGCTGATTCCTCCTTCTTTGGTTTCAGTAAAGAAGTGATGAACAAGTTCCACCAAGCTGAACTTTTCCTCTTTCAGCACATTCAGCTCTCTGAAAGTGAATGGAAATATGAACTGGATGTCCTGGTTGGCTTTGTCTTCAGCCCAGTCCAGAGTGAACTTCTGTGTTAAGACTGTTTTCCCAATGCCAGCCACTCCATTTGTCAGCACTGTTCTGATTGGTTCATCTCTTCCAGGTGAATCTTTAAACATGTCTTCTTGTCTGACTGTTGTTTCTGGTTTATCTGATTTCCTGGATGCGGTTTCAATCTGTCTGACCTCATGTTCATCACTGATCTCTGCAGTCCCTCCCTCTGTGATGTAGAGCTCTGTGTAGATCTTATTCAGAAGGGTTGGGTTTCCTGCTTTAGCGATCCCCTCAAACACACACTGGAACTTCTTCTTCAACTTAGATTTAAGCCGAGGCTGACAACTTTGAAGAGCCTCTAAATAAATCATTAAAAATAGCAAGAAAAAAAAACAGTCTGTTTATTTCTTTGTCTTCTTTTTTTGTTTTGCATTTTTACATATTTTTTCTTCAAACGTACTTAGATCTCAAATTACAATACTGAAGAAATCTCATTAATTATAAGTGCACCATCCTGCTATTAAAGTGAAGAGAAAATTGTTTCAGTTGCATTAGTACTAAACCAAAAAGCTTGGATGCCGGACATTGTTTACATTCTAATGTTTATTCATATTTCTTGTAGTTTTTTTTCGCTTCAGGGTATCTGCCTGGAGAAGAGACAGCAGGTAGTATTTTGCCTGTTAACAGCATGATGAGGAAATGGGAGAGAACCAAACAGCTGCTGACGTTGTTTATATTCAACAGTGAATGATTTAGTCTATCTTCTTGGACATAAGCAGATGGATATTAGCCATCACATAACGATCATATATTTACCAGCTTTCCCATTAACAAGTTTTAGGTCATTTTATTATATTATCAAATCTGTGTCTTTTAGTGATTGTACACAGGGCAAGAGCATGGTGACGACTGATCACTTATACCAACATTTACCATCTTTGTGTTTGGTTTTAAACAGGCTTCTGTGATGAAGGACGGGCAAAGATATCACTTTGCAAATGTGAAGAGGTGCCTTGTTTCTTCAAATCTTTTCCTCTTTCTTTTTGATCAAGTGTGCACTTCCACTGACATTTTAATGAATGGTCTCAAAGAGTTACTTAAATTACTTTTCCTCTTGTTTGGATTGTTGTGTTATTTGTGCTTCTTCAATCTTGATGTCATAAAAAATACATCTGGCTTCATTCACTGAGTGATGCTCAGCTTGAGATACAACAAATCATCACCAAACCAAAGAAGCTCCTGTTCTGTTATAATTTAAATAAATGGAACTTCTGCGCAGTCACACTAAAGGTTTTTAAACCTACATATGTAAAATAAAAAATTGGCTTTGTGGCTTGTGTAACCAATGGGAACATTTACAAACTAAACAGGTTTTCAACTCTGGACTTCTCCAAATTTTGTCACAAAAAATCCCACTAAACTTTCATGCTGTCTTTCAACTGCTACCTACACTGTTTAAAATAAACATCTGAAGGGAATTCAATATTTCACATTAAATTCCTGCCATAAACTCAAAAAGAGATTATGCACACTGTGACTAATAGAAGACTGGAATATTTTTCCTTCATGGGTTTCTGAAGCACTCAAGAACTCACACAAGTGACACTACTTTTTTTTTTTAAAGCAATTCGTTTTTCACGGTTTTAACAACTAAATAAGATTACTGTTCACATAAATAGAGCTAAGAAAAATCTATGTTAAAAAAATAATTCTGAGCAGTCTATTTTAAGTTAAACGCTTATGTGAAATAATTTCTCTCAAGTTAATACTTTAGTTTACTACTCTGTAAGTACAACACACTTAAAACCCTTGGTTAGTACAACATACTTCTTATTCCACCTCATTACTTTTCAGGGAGTTGTTTTCAGCATGTCTCTAAGAGATTTTTTTTATTCTCCAGTAGTCTGTAGTTTGTACATGTGATGATTGTTGTTAGAGTGGTCATGCAGGCATGGATTTAAGAGGTAATTGCAGGGTTTATTCTGCTACCAATACATCTTTTAATGATCTTCACTCCGTCATGGCCGTTTGGGAAAGGTTTTTTTTTTCCATTGTGAGCAGCCCTTTAATAAATCCAAATGTATGTTGTGGAATGAAGTTCCCGCTTTCTGCTTTTCGTTATATTAAATTCTGAGGTTTTACACTTCACATCTCAACAAACTACAGAGAAAAGTGGACTCACCTTGTTGAGCAGATGGATCAGAGTATAAACGCAGCTGAGAGAAAAGGGAGAGATCTATAGTCTGAAGATGTCTGACCATGATCCTGCTGGCTTTGTCCCCTTTCTTCCTCACTGTATCAATGAAGCAACGTGCCTTATCTGCTCTGACTGGGTTCCCTTCCAGTATTGATTCTTTCTCCAATTCATTTAAGACACCGTCACTCACAAGGGCCTCAAGGAGCTGTTTAAGGACTTCTGTTGACACCCTCCAAACAAAAGCTGACCGCACCCTGGCAAGCTCCTCTTCTACAAGAAGAAGGAAGAGACATAAACATGCATCCCCCTCAAACATTGATGACAAGGAGATCATTTTGAGTGAAGTTGCTTTCTTTTCCAAGCCCCTTAGACTGACAGTTGTCATGTTATGAAAATGTGCCAAAGAAAGATTAAGACATGTTGCAACAGATTTGAATTTGTGACCATTTTTAAAGACAGTATATAGATAACTATGTGCAAGTGCTCTGACAAATTTTTTCCAATAAGTGTTACAAAAAGGCAAAGGATTGTACCTTGTCTCTTTACATCCATACAGCTCATCAGACAAACCATTGATCTCCTACCTGCTGTGGAAGCTGCTTTAGTTGGTGATTCTTCTACAGGTTCTTTCATCATCTCTCTATGAAAACATGAGAAGACGATTTTAACAGAAGAAACTGTGAACACAGTCATGTGTCACGTTATTTTATTGATATTAGGTTTTAGTGTCTCAGCCACATACATCCAAAACTGACCTGTTTGAAATAAAACATCAATGACATGTGAATGTGGTGGTAATGATAATAAGGTAATAATGGTTGATTTTTTATATACTTTTTCAGGTATTAGTTCAGTGTAATAATAAAAAATCTGACCTTATAAACCACAAATGCATCCTTATCCTCATCCTTAACTTATACTGTCAGTCTTCAGTTTTATACCCAAAGTGGGTATGGGAGTGTGATCCCCCTACAGTAATATATATATATGAAAAATTAAGAATATTTAGCCAAAAGTTTATTAACTTTGCTGCAATTCTGAAAAGGCATCAGCGCGGTGACCAGTGTTGGTCAAGTTACTTGAAAAAAGTAATCAGCAGAGATGGGCAGTAACGCGTTACTTGTAATGCATAATCCATCATGCAAAATGTAATCAAATGGAAAAGTCCCTTTTTAAAACTTGTTTTATTAGTTTTAACCTTTTAACTTTATGCATCAAGCAAAAATTTAATTCTATGCAACATTCTCTGACTGGAAGAAATTTGTTTAACATTTAAACTTATTTTCTGTACATTCCAGCACATAAAATATATATTTTTTTGTGTGTTTACACTCACTCTTTCAAATAGATGCAAGTAAAACACAGCATAAAATAAATAACATCAAAGACTAGTGGTCCTGTTGCTCTATTTTCACCTGTAAAGCAGGAGCGGCATAGGCGTAGGTTTACCCTGGTGCAGCTGTGCCGCAGTGGTCAGTTGAAGAATCCGCGAGTTTCTCTGTGAGTTTCCCTTTACGTGGTAGCGCACTCCCAGTGCTTGCTTGGAAGTTTAGGGTTTTTTTTTTCGCGGTTAAAAGAGGTTTTCTTCCCACGCACAACGGACACTAATGTTTTTGTTACTTTTTATGTAATCAAACTCAAAGTAAGGTCAGTACTTCCAAGCTTTAAACGCTGCACACTCATACTCTCTCCCGCACTCGATATATGATCCATTGTTGATCTGCACACAGCTGTTGTCACGAACGTCGCACTCGCTTACGTCACTGTCATGAGACATTCTTGCTAAAAAATCACGGTTTTAGTAATGCAGTAACGCAGCGTTCCTACGGGAAAGTAACGGTAATCTAATTACCGTTTTTGCAATAGTAATCCCTTACTTTACTCGAGTACAGAAGTCTGGTGAGGAACTTTGTTGCATGGAGTCACACAAACCACCTGCAACTCAACACCTCAAAGACTAAGGAACTGGTTGTGGACTTCGGGAGGTCCAGAGAAGGTCCACTGCCGGTTCAGATAGAGGGGGAGGAGGTGGAGGTGGTCAACAAGTACAAGTACCTCGGGCTGTGGGTGGACAATAAACTGGACTGGTCATGCAACACAGAGCACCTGTATAAAAAAGCCCAAAGCCGACTGTACTTCCTCAGGAGGCTGAGGTCTTTTAACATCTGCAGGAAGCTCCTGAGGATGTTTTACCAGTCGGTGGTTGCTGGAGTACTTCTCTATGCTGTGGTGTGCTGGGGGAGCAGCACAGCAAAGAAGGACTCATCCAGGCTAGAGAAACTGATCAGGAAGGCTAGCTCTGTGGTCGGCATGAAGCTGGACACTCTGGTGACAGTGGCAGAGAAAAGGACATTAAAGAAACTGCTGGACATTATGAACAATGCTGGGCTTCCTCTGCACACGGCCATAAACAACCAGAAGAGTCTGTTCAGTGACAGGTTGCTTCTCCCCAAGACAAGAACTAACAGACTTAAAAACTCCTTTGTCCCACACACCATCAAACTGTTTAACTCCTCTCTGGAGGGGAGAGGGAGGGGAGACAGGAGGACAAAGGAGGGGGGAACAACTAAGCTGTAGTGCCTCTTCACCTCACTGTACAATACCTTGTGCAATACTTTTTGTAAATAGTCAACAGTGCAATAGTCCTCAATACTTGAAATGTGCAATTCACTTGTATTTTTATTTTTATTCCTATTTATTCTATTTATCCCCTTTGTATATTTTATTTATATTTGTTTCTGTATTTATATATGTGTGTGTGTGTGTGTGTGTGTGTGTGTGTGTGTGTGTGTGTGTGTGTGTGTGTGTGTGTATGTATGTATATATATATATATATATATATATATATATATATATATATATATATATATATATACATATATATATATATATAATATTCTGTAACTCTGTAACTTCTGTCGGTGCTGTGCTTTTTTGGAAATCGAATTTCCCAGAGGAACCCACCCGAGGGATTAATAAAGTTCTATCTTATCTCATCTTATCTTACTTGAAAAAAGTAATCAGAAACTGCCCATCTCTGGCGGTGACATGCATTGTCCTTTAGTACTGGAGCAACAGGAACACCAGTTAATCTGAAATCTCTTTGTCTCTCTAAAACAAAGTGACAGCAGACTGAGTCAAAGAAAGAAATGTTATTTAAACACCAAGGATCAGCAGAGTTAACGTGTTGGAGAATTGGACGTTCCAGTTCATTCAAATGCAGCTGCAATCAGAGAAACAGATGCAGAGACAGAGAAACATCATGTGACTGAAAAAGAGTTCAGCCTTCTGGTTCAAACTCTGTACAGACACAAGAGACAGCAGCACCAAGTGATGATTTCAATGACCTTGTTCCTGTTAAACACAGTTACAGTTTTAACAGGATGTTTTACTGAAGTTGTTTGAAAACACGTTTGGTATTATTGCTGTCACGGCCCGTGGCTCGGCATCCAGGGAGCCGTGGGAGGCTGCGGTGGCCACACCCTCGGGCTGTGCCGCCTCCAAACCACATGCGTCTCATCTGAGGCAATCACCAGAGGACTACTTCAGCCAGCTCTGACGGCTTCTCCTCGCCAGTCCGTAAGTCTCCTCCCAGTGTGACCAGCATTCGGCGTGGAAGCCTGTGGCCTGCCTGTCCTCCTGCCTGACTGCCTCCCTCCCTAGGATTCCCTTCACGGGCACCTCTCCCGTCCGAGCTCCACAGTCCTGCTCTACCTGTAAGCCTCGGCAACTTACTGTATGAAGTCTAGCTGTTCATTTCTTGGGAACCTGCATGCTGTTAACTGTGTCTCCCCTTTCTGTTGCAGTTTCCCCACGGTCCCGATTACGGCACTCCTGGGCTCCACGCTCCTTGTTTCCCCCCGTGGCATGAGCCTTAGTTTTTTCGTTTCCTTAGCTTTGTTAAAAGATTCCTCAGTTAAATAAAACTTGTACATAGTTCTGAGCTGCGGTTACCTGAACACTCCGTGTTCTGTGACAATTACTATTACCTGGTTATTTCTGTGTTGTGTGTTGTAGTACAATCTGAACTTTTATTTGGGTCCAAAAATGTTGGACAGAAAGCAGAATGTCATCTAAACCAGATGTGCAAACCCACAGAGCCAAGAGCAAAGATGTCTCTGCACATCTGCCTGTGTTAGAAGAGGAACTTTTTTCTCGTTTCATTAAGTTCATCAACTTCATGTTGTTACAGTCATGTGACTGTTAGTGGCTCAGAGAGCTGTGAAAAAAAATAGGAAGTGGGGTGTCTAAGCGGTTGCTATGTTTCTGATGTCACACAGACTAGGATAAGGTGGAGTATAAACCAGAGAAACCTCAGGCTGTTCTCTTCTTCCTGCTCAGGTCAAAGGTCATCTATGTCAGCGGTCCCCAACCCCCGGGCCTCGGACCGGTACCGGTCTGTGAGTCGTTTGGTACTGGGCCGCGAGAGTTTAGGCTCAGGTGTGAAATGTATAGTTTTCAGGGTTTTTATTGGTTTTCAGCATTTTTTTGTTATTGTTTTTATCGTTTACTCGGTTTTCCTTGGTCTTTTCACGTGTGTTATGAATAAATTTTCTTTTTTTCGGTACCAGTACTAGTTTTATTTTGTTGTATTTATCCGCGACACCTTAAAGGCCGGTCCATGAAAATATTGTCTGGCATAAACCGGTCCGTGGCGCAAAAAAGGTTGGGGACCGCTGATCTATGTGATAGATTTGATGTTTTAATTTCTAATCTTTCAAATATTTGTTTTGCTGGAACTTTTGCTTGAGTGGATGAAAACTGAAGTGGGTTCCTTCTGACCTCCTGAAAAGACGTCTTTTCTTCTCTTTGTGTTCTGGTACTTTCTCAGCTCCAGGGGAACTTCTAGGGGGAGAGGTGAAGGTGTCCCTGTGTCTCTAACATCCCTCTCAGTGTTGGGATGGTGAATGAAGGAGTTTTGGTGCAGTTCGAGCAGAGACACTAAAATGCAGCAGTGATTGTGTCTAATCAGACAAACATGAAGTAAATGCACTGAAGCTGCTGTCAGTCTGAGTATAATCAAATGTCTGATTGAATGTACGTCAAGCACCATAGATAACGTATTGGAATGTGTTACTATTGAAATCCGTGTTGAAAAAGCTAACAATATAATTATAAGTTGCATCTATAGGTCACCAGGGTCATGTCTTGACACATTCAATGAAAAAGTTTCTGCTATGTTTAGCCACCTAAATGATAAAAAAGCACAAATAATTTGTGGTGATTTTAATATATATTTGCTAAATCCAAATAGACATCAGAAAACAACAGATTTCATCAATACAATGTATAGTAACTGCCTTTTCACTGTAGTTATATATATATATATATATTTATTTATTTATTTATATATATATATATATATATATATATATATATATATATATATTTATTTATTTATTTATTTATTTTAATATATATTTTACTCAGAATTTGTCCTCCATGTTTATTGGTCCTGTAACTCATAGAGAAATAATGAACATTGTGAAAACATTTAAAAATAAAAAGTCCACTGACTGTTTTGGTATTGACATGATATTAGTTAAAAGTATTATAGAATATATACTGTGACCTTTCACATACATTTGTAATCTGTCCTTTTGAACTGGTGTGTTTCCCTCAAAAATGAAAATAGCAAAAATTATTCCAATCCATAAAAATGGAGAGAGATGTCAATTTACTAATTACAGGCCAATATCACTACTCCCACAGTTCTCAAAAATTTTAGAAAAGTTATTTGTTAATAGACTTGATAAATATATTAAGAAGCATAATCTCCTAAGTGATAACCAATATGGCTTTAGAGCAAAAAGGTCCACTTGGATGGCAGTGATGGAAGTTGCAGAAGGGATATCTACTGAAATAGATAATAAGGAATATACTGTTGGTGTTTTTATAGACTTAAAAAAGCTGTTTGGTACAATTGATCATTCTATATTAATGAATAAACTAGAGAGATATGGCATAAGAGGCATAGCATACAAGTGGATGAAAAGTTACCTGGATGATAGATATCAATATGTTGAAATCAATAATGTAAAATCTAATCAGTTGAAGGTAATTTGCGGCTTTCCTCAGGGCTCTGTGCTGAGCCCTGAAGTATCCATATTATATATAAATGACATATGTAGTGTTTCCAAATTGTTAAAATGTGTATTGGTTGCTGATGATACCACTCTGTATTGCTCAGGTAAAAACCTAGAACAGCTTCTGACTACAGTGGAAAAGGAGTTAAATATATTAAAAAACTGGTTTGATATAAATAAGTTATCGTTAAATATAAACAAAACAAAATTTATTATTTTTGGCACTAGACAAATGAAAAATGAATCTAAAATCAGGGTTAATGGAATTGAAATTGAAAGCGTGTGCGAAAAAATTAATTTCTTGGAGTGATAATTGATGATAAGCTTAGCTGGAAGTCTCATATAAACCATGTGAAAACAAAAGTTGCTATTCTCTACAAAACAAAGCATGTCCTGAACAAGAAATCATTATACACACTTTATTGCTCTCTATTTTATGATTTAGTTGAATATAAAATGGCACAGATACTGTATAAAGCACAAAATAACTTGCTTTGCCGCAGTACTCAGAAGCTGTTTAAAGTCAGAGAGAGTCAATATGACTTAATGGGAACAGAATTCTTTAAAAAAAAACACCAAAAAAACAAGATAAGGACAAACATAAAGCACAGATGTGTTTCTGTTAGAGGAGTTAAGGTGTAGTTCATTTTCCTTGTTTGAAAGCATGTTTAAAAATAGAGTATTAGAAAAATAATATATAAATAAAGAATGAAAAGAGCAAAAATAATAATACTGAAACTCTTGGTTGTTTTGCTTCGATTATTTTAATGAAATTTAATTTAATGTAGTTACTCATCTAAGGTGCAAAGTTTTTTTGTTTTGTTTTGTTTTTTGTTTGTTTGTTTGCTTTGTTTTGTTTTATTCTTTGCTTTGAGCCCTACATGAGCTGCATGCTAAAAGATCTTTTGTTAAAAGTGTTGGTGTAAAGCATATGCTTCAGCCAATACCTTTTGATTAGCCTTGTCTTATGCTTTCTTGCTTTGTGGTAATCTTTATTTTGTATTCACTAAGATATTTGAATGTTAATCAATAAATCAATCAATAAAAATAATGACCGTGTTACTGTTACAGTTACAGTTTTAACAGGATGTTTTTTGTATTTGATTTATTGCTCTGTAAAGGCTGAATCCTCTGAAATTAGCAGGCAAGACAACGACTGATGGTCAGAGCTGTCACACTGATATTAAAGTAGCATATCAGAAAAGGTTCCACCTTAACAGCTACAGGCAGCTGCCGTTTACATGTTATAGAAGAAAAACTGAACTGAACATACCTGTCCTTGATCCTTGATATTAGAATAATCCATCAGTCTATTTTAGTGCTTCTGCTCTGTTACACTGCGTTACATTGTTTCTACAAATTACATTTCCTGTGTGTTGAATTAAAATCAAATTAAAAGCACAAATCACAGTGTCAATTCTTAAATAGATTTTAATTGCAGAACATCAGGAGCAGGAAGTGTGTTTTTTTTGCTGTGAAGACAAACCAAGTGTAAATGTGTGTGTTGGTGAGCTCACAGGCAGTGTGTCCCTCTTTTCTCTCAGTGGCCTCAGAAATGCTTACTCTGCTGTACATCACTTATTTTCAAATAATAACGTTGTTAAATGACTTTCATAGTAAATATGGATTCACATAGAGATAAAATGACATCATGAGAGAGTTTTTACCATAATGTCCATCAAAAAGACGATAAGGAGAAAGTGTGAGGAGACCTCTGGGTTGAAGTGAGTGCATCAGTGAAAAAGGTGAAATACTCAAACAAAGCAGAAGAACTTAACGCTTTATTGACCAATGGCCAGCCGACGGGCCCATTTCACAGGCAGTCTTTAAACGACTGTAACTCTTCATTTATGCTAGAGAAAGCTAGGTTTCGAAAAGAAGAGAAGCTGCGCTTTACGGGGATATTTTGCGTATTACGGTAGCACAAAGCATTCACAAGCTACAGCTGTCTGAACACAGAAATGTTCTGTTCTTTTGTATACTTCATCTGTTTGTATGTTGTACACTCATTGTGTGTTCAATAAAGTTCATTAAAAAAAATCTAAACACAGAAGGAAAACTCAACTCCGCCTAGATTTTACCATGTGTGCTTCGCACTACCGTAACTCATTGACCATTTGAGCTAGGGGAAAAAATTCACATGGTTACTGAAAGAAGAGAGACTGAGTTTTACGGGGATATTTAGTGTATTACGGTAGCACAAAGCGTTCACAAGCTACAGCTGACTGGAAAAAGAAAAGTGAACACCGCTTAGTGGTGCACTTAATGTGCGCTTCGCACTAATGTAACTCTTCGACTATTTGGGCTAGAGGGACATTTCAAACGGTTACTGAAAGACGACAAGATGGGCTTTACGAAACATTATGGTGCATCATTAGAAAGCAAGAACAATGACGGTCAATAAAGGAGAGCAGAGAAGAAATGTGCTGAAGGAACTTTCAGTGCTTTAAGTTACAGAAGCACAAGCTGCCTCTAATGTCTGAGAGAAAAGATGAATTCAAACCTGCTGCTGGTTTGGTTCCACTCTGCCTCGTTGGTCCAGCTGTGAGTCCGGCAGATCTGTGCTGTTTGTGCTAAAGAAGGTCGTCTGACACGGAGATCAGCAAAGAGAAGCGAAACAGGAAGAGCAGGAAGGGAGGTGCTTGTGGGGAACCAGGGATTAAGCAATATCAGAAATTCTCAAGTTTGCAATTTAGAAACATGTAAAAATGTTTGTTGGAGGCTTTCTGTCCTGTTACTGAGCGAAGCATTAAAATTATGTTTCTATTGTAGTTTCTGTTGTAGTGACACTTTAAACTGGTTTGACTACAGATCAAAGAAACACTCAGTGTGTTAGTGAAAGTTGTTTTTAGCTGACCTTGAGGTTAAGGTTACTTTGTTTATACCCATAGGTAAATTTGCTTTGCAGAAAAATGATAGCATTTGGCATCCCTTCACGAACACACATTCCTAGTTAAAACCTCACAAAAAACACATATATAGTACTTGAACAATATGAATCAAATAAAAAACATACCTTATTTAGTTCAGTGACAGCAACAGGGGCAAAGCTGTTTTTATAATACTTTGTTCTACATCTTGGAAATAGAAACCTCCCTCCTGGGGAAAGAAGCTGAAATTCACCCCGTACAGGATGAGAACCATTTTTAAGAATTGATTAAGCCATCTGTTGTATCTGTGTAGAGTACAGGGAGGCTAAACAGGACTGTGACTCACCTATCAGGCGACTGGACCATCTCACTATCTGATTCAGTGAGTTTTTCTCTGTGACAGAGGTCTGACCAAATCATGCTACCAAACAAAAAGATAAAACAGACTCAATAAAAGAACGATAAAACAAAGTTACAATTTTTAAGTCAATGTGGAAATGAGCAAGTTTCCTGAGGCAGTAAAGGCGCTGGTGACCCTTTTTACAAGCCGATTTGCAATTCTCATCAAAGTTCAGTTTTTCATTGATTACAGTCCCAAGATATTTATATGATTGCACTTGCTCTATTTTCTGTCGAAAAGAGCCCATGACAGCACAAAAAAGTAGCTTTAGTAAAGGTTACAAATGTTCTTCGTATGGCCTCTGACAGTCGACTCATCTCTGTGCCTCTCCTGCTAGATCTCAGTGCAGCATTTGATACTGTCGACCCTAATATTCTATTAGAGCGATTAGAGCATTACATATTACAGGTACTGAGCTGCAGTGGTTTGTATCACATCTATCGCTCAGAATCCAATTTGTTTATGTAAATGGAGAGTTATGTAAATGGAGGTTAATTATGGAGTTCCACAGGGTTCAGCACTAGGGCCAATTCTGTTTACATTATGCTTAGGCAGTATCATCAAAAGACACAACATACAATTTCACTGCTATGCAGATGACACCCAGCTTTATCTATCCAGGAAGCAAGATAACACACACCAATTAGTTAAACTGCAGGAATGTCTTAAAGACATAAAGACCTGGATGGCCTCTAACTTTCTGCTTCTTAATTCAGATAAAATTGGGGTTATTGTACTCGGCCCTGGCAATCTTAGAAATATGGTATCTAACCAGATTTTTACTTTCTTTTTTTTTATATATATACTTTTTTTACTCTTGATGTCATGACCTTGGCCTTCAGTAACACTGTGAGGAACCTTGGAGTCATTTTTAACCAGGATAGCTCCTTCGATGCACATATTAAACAAATATTTAGGACTGCTTTGTTGCATTTGAACTGTCCTGTCTCAGAGTGATGCTGAAAAACTACATTTATTACTTCTAGGCTGGACTACTGTAATTCATTATTATCAGGATGTCCTAAAAACTCTCCCTAAAAAACTCCCTGAAAAGTCTTCAGCTAATCCAAAATGCTGCAGCAAGAGTACTGACAGGGACTAGAAAGAGAGAGCATATTTCTCCTTCATTGGCTTCCCTTCATTGGCTTCCTGTTAAATCCAGAATTGAATTCAAAATCCTGCTCCTCACATACAAGGTCTTAAATAATCAGGCCCCATCTTATCTTAATGACCTTGTAGTACCATATCACCCTATTAGAGCACTTCGCTCTCGCACTGCAGGCCTACTTGTTGTTCCCATTATTTAAAAGTAGAATGGGAGGGACGGCCTGCAGTTTTCAGGCCCCTCTTCTGTGGAACCAGCTTCCAGTTTGGATTCGGGACACAGACACTATTTCTACTTTTAAAATTAGGCTTAATTAAAACTTTCCTTTTTGCTAAAGCATATAGTTAGGGCTGGATTAGGTGACCCCGAATCCTCCCTTAGTTATGCTGCAATAGACCTAGGCTGCCGGGGGATTCCCATGATGCATTGAGTTTTTCTTCTTCTGTCACCTTTCTCAATCACTATATGTTAATAGACCTCTCTGCACTGAACCACACTTGTTATTAATGTCTGGCTCTTTTCCACTGCATGTCTTTTATCCTGTCTTCCTTCTCTCACCCCAACTGGTCGCAGCAGATGATCGCCCCTCCCTGAGCCTGGTTCTGCTGGAGGTTTCTTCATGTTAAAACTCAGTTTTTCCTTCCCACGTTCGCCAAAGTGCTTGCTCATAGGGGGTCATATGATTGTTGGGTTTTTCTCTGCATGTATTATTGTAGGTGCGACTGCTGTTTTGATTTGTCGCTATATAAATAAAATTGAATTTAAGAGAATAAATATTTGCAAACAATTAGAAAAGGTAGATTTTAAAACACTTTGTGTCATGTGTGTTAATTAAATTGAAACCATGCAATTCATCTCAGCAGGAGAGGGCAAAAAATCACCACTGATGAAGTGTTCAAGGAGATGTTAGTGACAGTCCATGTTTCTTTGATTGGATTAGTTTTTAAAAGCACTTGATTTTATAAAATGACAGAAACAGGAGAGACGCTGAATGTCTTGAATATTTTATACACTGAGTACTATTGGATGTCCGCTTATATAAGAATTATGGAAAAATCACATTAAGAAAGAGAAATCAAACATTTGTATTAATTTTAATGAGCTCAGACCTATTAAAAATGCGGAGGAGCTGGTTGTGAACTGAGATTCAGAGAAACACAACATACTGATATTGACTGTGAAGCTTTGAGTGGGAAAAAACGTGGATCCTGGGATAATCATAGTTCCATCTTTAAAGGACTGAAGAGGAAGAAGTTTACAAGAAATCATTTAGAAACGTCATCAACTCATTGAATCCATGAATCATGGCTCAAGAGTTGGGAGTTTGCCTTGTAATCGGAAGGTTGCCGGTTCGAGCCCCGGCTTGGACAGTCTCGGCCGTTGTGTCCTTGGACAAGACACTTCACCCATTGCCTACTGGTGGTGGTCAGAGGGCCTGGTGGTGCCAGTGTCCGGCAGCCTCGCCTCTGTCAGTGCGTCCCAGGGTGGCTGTGGCTACAGTGTAGCTTGCCATCACCAGTGTGTGAATGGGTGGATGACTGGATGTGTAAAGCGCTTTGGGGTCCTTAGGGACTAGTAAAGCGCTATACAAATACAGGCCATTTACCATTTTTTCTGGTTGAAAGAAACAGACATGTACAGACTGAATAATCAGTTCAACAGTCAGAGTGTTTCTCTAACAAGAGGACACTCTTTACTCTCAACTCAGCACAGACACACTGAGGCACAAGGAAAGAAATAAAATGCAGGATAAAGAGTTTCAGTGAATGTGGTGTTGAAGGTGTGGAGGTGGATCAGAGTGTCAGAGGAGACTTTATAGAAGGACAGAGTGCCAGCAGGGCAATCCACATACACTGCTACTCTGTTAGAGACAGAGGAGGAGATGGATGTTCGACTGTTAGCGTGACAGACAGAATCAGGACCATTATCAGTGCAGTTCAGACTCCAAGACTGATCATTGTATCCAAACACACAGTCATAACTGTCTCCTTTCCTTCTGATTCTTCTGTAACTCACTGACATGTCAACTCTTCCACTCCACTCGACCTCCCAGTAACAGCGACCAGTCAGTTCATTACTACACAGCAGCTGAGGCCAAACATCAAATCTGTCTGGATGATCAGGATATGACTGAACCTTCTCCACATGTTTCACTGTCGTGTAGTTGTCAGACAGTTGGAGATTTGTGTGTACTGTGTTTGTATCGATTGTGAGTTGACAGGAATCTGATGGAGAGAACAAACACAATCCAGCTGCAGTTATTGATCCATCATCTGTTCATTGATTGACACTTTGATCATGAGTCCTGACATCAGAGATGTGAATGAGTGATGTGACATTTTGAAGAGGTTGAATGTGTGCTGCTTTGTTTTCATATTTCACATTAAAAACACACTTACACTTCTTCAGCCCTGGTGTCAACCATTGGACTCCAGCAGGCTCCACCCTGAAAGGAGGAGGGGGGTCAGACCAGTACAATCTCTTTCAGCATGCACACATTCCCAATCCCAATTCAGGGTCTGCAGCCTTAAAGGCTGCATTTTAAGGCCGATTACGTCACAGCGACGCGACGAAGGCTGTCCCAATTCGAAGGCTGCTCGAAATGCGGTTCTCAAATGCGTCCTTCATTTCCCTGAATTTTAAGGATGTGGCGGTATAGACTTCCTGGCCCAATATATCCCAGAATGCATAGCGCGGCGGTGGGTGTGGATAATTTTGGCGAAAAAAAACGGTGGATGAGGGGCGCCCGAAGAGTAAACTTTAAGTAAGTACTGAATATTATGTCACTTATTTATGTGGAAATGTTTAATAACGAAGAACATTAAAACATTACTGTTGGCCACATGTCAGCAAAGTTATGTGACATTAGTGACGTTTGTGCTAACTTGGTTTTAAAGCCTTTACTTTAAAATATACGCCGTTCAATAGCTAACCTTAATATTACAGAGAATGATCAAAGCTCATGTAGAAACAAACAAACAAATGAACAAAACATTTTCTCTTTCATTTGTGTCAAACAATTCTGTATGAAACGTTTCCAGCTGTTAGTATCATGGTTGATAAGCAACCTGGGCAGCGCGACGGAGGCTAGACCGTCCCATTTCGCAAGCCTCGCACTTCCGGCCTTAGCGGTCATTGAGTATGCGGCCCTTGTGGACCGTTAAGGCTGCGTACTTTAAGGCTGCAGACCCTGAATTGTGATACAGCCATGGACATTACATTGCTCCCTGTTAGTAGACCTCTCTGCATTAAATCATCACAATTAATCACTCGCTCTCTTCCACAGAATGGAGTGTTCCCTTCCCTTAATTTCCAAAATGCCTATCATTGGGGAGGTTGGGGGGGGGGGATTATTCTAGGGTCTACTTTACAATATAAAGCACCTTGAGGCAACTATTGCTGTTATTTAGCACTTTATAAATAAAACTGAATTGAAATTTGAATTGAATACACTTATTGTTAGACACTGATAAAGGAACAGTCCAACATTTTCACACTAGACTTGAATCCATACATTGATCAAGTTGCTGATGATTTGGACTGATCCTGGATCTTTCTGGTTTTTTGCAGCTACTCTTTTGTTTTCTTTTTTCCTGGGTCACAGTCTATTCCATCCCTCCCATTCACTTCTACAAATATTTTCCCTTTTCTCTGGGTCTGCATTTCCTTTTGTGTTCTTTGCCCCTGTACTGATTCTGTCATGCCCTCATCTGGAAATATGTTGCAAAAAAAGCTTAAAAATTATTTCAGACATTTTATAGTTAAGTGCAAGACCAACTCAAAACAGACCATCAAAGATTCTGGGGAGCTTGCAGGAGTGCTCACAGACATATTCAATCTGTCCTTGGCCCACGCTGTGGTACCGGCCTGCTTCAAATCCACCTCCATCGTCCCGATACCCAAAAACTCCAACCCATCTTGCCTCAATGATTACCGCCCAGTAGCACTCACCCCCATCATCACTAAGTGCTTAGAGCGACTGGTCCTAGCACACTTCAAATCCTGTCTCCCCCCACCCTGGACCCCCACCAATTCGCATACCGCCGGAACAGGAGCACAGAGGATGCAGTCTCCATCGCAATGCACTCTGTCCTCTCACACCTGGACAACAACAACACCTACGCCAGAATGCTGTTTATAGACTTCAGTTCAGCATTCAATACAATCCACCCCTCACAACTCATCAGGAAACTGACAGACCTGGGTATCAGTTCCCTCATCTGCAAATGGTTACTGGACTTCCTGACCAACCGCCCCCAACATGTCCGGCTGGATAACCGCTGCTCATCTACCATCACAATGAACACCGGTGTACCACAAGGCTGTGTGATGAGCCCTTTCCTCTACTCCCTCTTCACCCACGACTGCAGACCTGCTGATGGTTCCAACACCATCATTAAGTTTGCAGATGACACCACGGTGATTGGCCTCATCAGTGACAACGATGAGGCCGCCTACAGGGAGGAGGTGGATCGTCTGGCTGAGTGGTGCGACAGAAACAACCTGCTGCTTAACACCGAGAAGACCAAGGAGCTCATCGTGGACTACAGGAGGAATGCTGACCCACATCCACCCATCCACATTAAGGGGACGGCTGTGGAGCGTGTGAGCAGCTTCAAGTTCCTGGGAGTCCACATCTCCGAGGATCTCACCTGGACGACCAACTGCTCCAAGCTGGTCAAGAAGGCTCACCAGCGCCTCTTCTTCTTGAGGACTCTGAGGAAGAACCACCTGTCCTCAGACATCCTGGTGAACTTCTATTGCTGCACCATCGAGAGCATCCTGACCAACTGTATAACAGTCTGGTACGGGAACTGCTCTGCCTCGGACCGGAAGGCGTTGCAGAGGGTCGTGAAAACTGCCCAGCGCATCGCCGGAGCACCACTTCCTGCCATAAAAGACATCTACAGGAAGCGGTGTCTGAAAAGGGCTGGGAAAATCATCAAAGACCCCAGTCACCCATCACATGGACTCTTCACCCTCCTGCCCTCTGGGAGGCGCCACAGGAGCCTCCGGACTAAGACCACCAGGTACCGGAACAGCTTCTTCCCCACAGCTGTCAGACTCCTGAACTCTGCCTCCTGACATCTGACCCACGTTAAACTCATGGACTGAACATACACACCCCACAATGGACAACTGTACCCTCAAACACAATAATAACATGGACTGAACCACCACTCACAACCACTAGCACTTTATATAGCCTCTGTAGAAACTATCTACACCCTCACTTATCTTAACTGCACTAATGTATAGCTCTGTGTAAATAATCATTCTGTACATTCGATAATCTTTAATCCTACAACTGTTTACAACTTGCATAGTTCCCATTTCTGTATAGCTGTATATCCCAGATTCTGTAAAGTTATTTATTTCATATTCTGTATAGTTTTTCATATTTATATCCTGTTCATATCCTGTACATAGCTTGTACTCACTACAGCCTGTACATACTTATAGTTATAGAATATTCACAACATACTTCATACCGTGTACATTATAACATACCATAATAGACCCATTTCTGTAATATACTCACATATCTATATTATTGCTAATATATATTGTAATATATCTATATCACTAAAGCACTTCTGGATGGATGCAAACTGCATTTCGTTGCCCTGTACCTGTGCATGTGCAATGACAATAAAGTTGAATTCTATTCTATTCTATTCTATTCTATTCTATTCAACCATGTTACAGTTATTCAACCTTGTTGCAGTAAAAAATGCAACAGAATTGATGATTGATGATGGTTAGTAACAGCAGTAACTCTATATTTTGCTAACACAGTAATGCCACATTGCAATTAGGGCATGAAAAGAATGTAATATTTTAAGAATTATTGCTTATTTTTCCTATACAATTGTACACTTGTGGAGGTACGCAATAACGACCGGAGAGGTTTCAGTGTCTCACTCCAACTTTATTAACTGACTCTGAACAACCTCACACACAGTAAGCGCCAAAATCTCCACCCCAGGACTTCCCTTCAACTTGGGTGTGAGTGGAGCCACCTGGTGGTCCACCACACACTATCCTTTATGCAAATAACAGAGCTCAAGTACTGATCCTGACAAGTTTCATCTGGTTTTAAAAAACTTAAAATAGGACAGTTGACATGTTGTGTGCTGTGTGCAGCAGGCAGGAAAGAGGGACCCTCATGCAGACTTGTGGAGACGAAACGTAAACTCAAAGAACTCAGCTTTATTACTGGCATAAATCAAAACAGAAAACTAAAGTGATAAGGCTAGAAACAGAGCTTGGAACAGAACACACAGGCGAGTATGAGGGTATGACGCAACGATGAGCAGGGGAAGACGCAGACACCAAATACAAGAGGTGAACAGTACCAAGAGGAAGCAGCTGGGAGACATGGCTGACACGAATTACACAGATGAGACGGGGGGAGGGCAAAACAAGAAGCACAAGACAAAAGCAGGCTTGACACAGAGAAATAGACATAACAGGTTTGACACCAAGCACCCAACATACGGAGATAAAACTGAACAGACTTAATCTTCTCTAGGGTTAAGACACCAGGCGTACAGGAAGGCACAGAAACAGAAGAGAGACCACAGAGACAAGAGTGACAAGGAAGACACAGAACAGGAATGAGCATGGAATCAAAACCTAAGAGCTAAACTCTGAACAAGAATAAAACCGAAACACCAGATAGTAATAACCAAAACAGCAATACTAGACAATCAGAACAAAAACCATAATACAGACTAACAGCAGAACTCAAAACACGAGGACCAATAGCTTAAATAGAATTGCATTGGAGATCGTGTGGAACTATTGGAATTTCAGAGATAAGTTGTACAATTCTTTTAGAAGTAAATGTATTAGTATTTAAAGTAGGTATGTAAATTAACACATTAATGCTAAATGTTTCGTAGTAATTCGAATATCTTTATATATATTTCTTATATTTGATATTCAGCTAAACTGTGCAAACAGTCATGAGGGACATGTAAATATGCTTGCATGAGATGGAAATAAAGCATTTTGTGATTATTTACACATTATTTTTTATTTATTTGAAATAATCCAAAAAGTCAATAAATGGCAACAAAAAACAGTTATTATTGTTCCCGGACAAACTCCTAGAGTTCCACAACATAAATATCTCATTATCATTAAACTAGACTAGTGTTTCTGTTGTGATCAAAGAGCAAACTTTGTAACATTTGTAACACACATGTCAAAAAGGAACTGAGTGAACAGAGAAAACATTTCAGAATCAGATTACTCTATCATTCCCTGAGGAAAGTATATTCTTACTTCTCTATCAGACATTTTCTCCATACCTGAGTGTGTCCAGTCTCCAGCATGGATCCTTCAGTCCAGCCAAAAGGAGATTTATCCCTGAGGCTTCTGGGTGGTTGTAGCTCATGTCCAGCTCTCTCAGATGGGAGGGATTAGAGCTCAGAGCTGAGGCCAGAGAAGTACAGCCTTTCTCTGTGATCAGACACCCTGATAGACTGCAGACAGAACAATTGATATGTGAACACTTTTTTGGTCCTGTGTTATTGCTCCTTGCTTTTTTTTTTTTTTTTTTTTTAAGATTATTTGCCATGCATTTAGTTAATTTTACATTTTTTTATAGCAACAACAATTTAGAACACATAATACAAGTTGTGTCAACTTTTATTATTGATAATGAGGTACTATAAGGTTTTTTTTTTTGTTTGTTTTTTTCTTTGCCTATTGTATTTGCTAGTTTTTGTCAGTATGCAAATGTATACTTATAGTACATGAAGCCTGCAGTCAGCTGAGACTAAAATGCTTCTCCCACTGAAAACACTACATCCAGATTAACAGAATCAACCTTCTGGAACTTCAGTCCTGCTGTTTCTTTAAAAGGGACCTCTGGCTAATACGACGGGTTCGGTGTTTATTGTCTTGTCTGGGTGAACTTTGCTAGAGACAGAGAGCGGCGTTGAAAGGCTGCTCCAACGGAACTTATTGTTTCGTAGGAAAACACGAACACAGTGTACAGTCGAGTCTTAATAGCTTACAACTGGGCTCGTCAGGCACTCTTTTTGGCTGCAGTGGTTGCTATTATTATATTTACATTCTTCCATCTCGTACTTTTCCACTTTCCTTTTTCTGTCTCCCTCGCTCACAGACACATCACAGGTATGGCAGTCCATTCTCCCTGCAGCACGGACTACACTGCCCATGAGGCTACATTCTTTAGGGCTATGCCTGTAGCACTCTGCCTATTGCCTTCATATTAATTAATTTTTGAATAATAATTTTTAAAAATATTTCTTCACGTCATTATGTGGGCAGCAAGCAGGGATGACATGGGCCATGAGATTGATACACAGGCATTAGAGCCTCTTAACGCGTGTTTTGTTTGGGTTTCCACCGGCGTGGAATTACCAGAAATAGAGAGGGCATAGCCTAACATATCAAACAGGAAAATACTGCCGCATAATCCATTTATTTCAACAAAGTAACTGTATTCTGAATACCACCTTTTTAAACTGTAACTGTAACGGAATACAGTTACTCATTTTTTAAATTTTAAATACGCAACACCAGTGCATGTATTCCGTTACTCCCCAACACTGGACCTTATTTTAAACATCTGTAAATGGGATCCTCAGGAGCCACTCATCCAGTTTGGAGGTCCCTGCCCCGACTGCTCCGATTACTACAGAAACCACTTTTGCCTTCATCTTCCATATCTTTGTGAGTTCCTCTCTCATTCCATGGTATTTCTCAAGCTTCTTATATTGCACAGCAATGTAAATCACACACACACACACCACACACCACACACACACACACACACACACACACACACACACACACACACACACACACACACACACACACACGTGTCTATATATACATATTACATACATATTACACATACATACTGTACACAAAGCTGTGTAAACCAACTATAAATAACGAATCTAAACTTATATACATAAAATACAGCAATGAATGAGGTGGAATGAATACTACAAAATGTACATAACGTGCAGTTGCAGTCTGGCAGTGGGAGCAGTGTGACAGGTCAACTGTTAAGAAGGGAGATGGCGAGGGGAAAGAAACTGTTCCTGTGTCGGGTGGTCCTGGTCTGCAGGCTTCTGTACCGTCTGCCAGAGGGCAGCAGATCAAAAAGTCTGTGTGCTGGGTGTGAGGGGTCTGTGTTGATTTTCCCTGCCCGTTTCCTGGTTCTTGAGAGGTACAGATCCTGGATGGAGGGCAGGGACGTGCCGATGATCTTTCTGCTGCCCGTACAGTCCGCTGCAGTCTGCTCCTGTCCTGTTTAGTGGCTGCTCCTTACCAGACTGTGATGGAGGAGCACAGGACAGACTCAATGACCGCAGTGTAGAACTGGATCAGCAGCTCCTGTGGAAGACTGTACTTCCCCAGTTGTCTCAGGAAGTACATCCTCTGCTGGGTCTTTTTGAGGATGGAGTTGATGTTGGTCTCCCACTTCAGGTCCTGGGAGATGGTTGTACCCAGGAACTTGAAGGTCTTCACAGTTGACACAGGGCTGTCTGATATGGTGAGGGGGGGCAGAGTTGAGGGATGTCTCTTGAAGTCCACTGTCATCTCTACAGTCTTAAGAGTGTTCAGCTCCAGATTGTGCTGACTGCACCAGAGTACCAGCCGCTCAACTTCTTGCCGGTATGCAGACTCATCACCATCTTGAATGAGGCCAATGACAGTGGTGTCATCTGCAAACTTTAGGAGTTTGACAGCCGAGTTCTTGGTGGTGCAGTCGTTAGTGTAGAGGGAGAACAGTAGTGGTGAGAGGACACATCCTTGAGGGGCACCAATACTGAGGGACCGGGTTTCAGAGGTGATCTCCCCCAGCCTCACTTGTTGCTTTCTGTCTGTCAGGAAGCTGGTGATCCACTGACAGGTAGCTGGTGACACGCTGAGCTGGGAGAGTTTGGAGGAAAGAAGTTCAGGCACAATGGTGTTAAAAGCCGAACTAAAGTCCACAAACAGGACCCTGGCATAAGTTCCCGGGCGGTCAAGGTGTTGCAGGATGTAATGCAGCCCCATGTTCACTGCATCATCCACCGACCTGTTTGCCCGGTAGGCAAACTGCAGAGGGTCCAGCTGGTGGCCTGTAATGTCTTTCAGATGGGCTAACACCAGTCGTTCGAAGGATTTCATGACCACAGAAGTCAAGGCGACAGGTCTGTAGTCATTCAGTCCTGTGATGGTGGGTTTCTTGGGAACAGGGATGATGGTGGAGCGTTTGAAGCAGGAGGGAACTTCACACAGCTCCAGGGATCTGTTGAAGATGCGAGTAAAGATGGGAGCCAGCTGTTCAGCACAGGTTTTGAGGCAGGAGGGTGAGACGCCGTCTGGTCCGGGGGCTTTATAACTTTATATAGCTACGACTAGGGCCATCTTCCTCTGCTTGGTTTAGCTCCTCCTTTAGCCATTTCATTATCTGCTCACTGGTAGAGCATACGTATTAATTGCCCAGATCTTGTACTTCCCATTCGGCTGACTCCTCAGAACTTGTCTTATTATCTGGGTGGTTGTGGCTTTCCTAGAAGACTCATTTACCTGTGGGATTCCCAGGTACTAGAAACTGTCCTTAGTGTCTGAATTGCTGCTTTCTGATAGTCCAATTCCCTCTGTTCTGACTACCCCCCTTCTCTTTGTTACTGTCAGAGTACATCTCCAGTCCAAATGATTTTCAGATGTCAATGCTGTGCATCCTAGTGGTGTGGATCAGTGAATCAATGTATCATTCACTTCATGGCGTACAACTTGATATCATCCATGTAACACACCTAGCTAAGGATTGCTCCATTCCATTGTTCGTATCTGTAGCTAGAGTAGTTAATGATCTGGTTGAGGGGGTTCAGGCCTATTCATTGCAGCAGTAAGGACAGAACATCCCCTTGTAAATCCTGCACATGCTGGTATATTGTGTGATAAGAGCCGTTTAACCGGCCATTGTAAGGTTGATGAAGAGTATGTTTATTACAGGACAAGCACTGTGGAATTCCCAGTACCAGTGTGGTCATGGGTTTTTGACTGTCCTGCTGAGTGTTTCAAGTCTCAACCACTGAATACAATCCAGATTACAACACAGACTGGACATGTGTACCTAGTCAAATAGTCACATACACTATAAACCTACACTGGAGATTTTTATATATTGAAATCCCCATGTTAATCATTTAACCTATATATTCAAACTGTATATGACCCATCACCTCAGGTCAAATATCATGCACATTTATATTGAAACTTCATACCACTTGTACACTCGCCAGCAGTTTTTTCTGTCTTTTTGTGTCTCTGCTGTTTGTACTTAAAGGCTCAACACCCCAGGGTTTGCTTTGCTTCTTTGCTGTATGTTTTCTTGCTGTTCTGTGTATTGTGATGCGCTTTTTTGTTGTTCATATAACTCTATTTAATAAATTGTGTTTATTAACACCGGAGGAGGAGGCTTGAGGAGATTTCCTCATTGTTCCTGTCTCCCCTATTCCATCCCCTATCTGGATGACAGAGATGAGAGAAGTAGGAACGGACAGAGCAAGAGGGAGAAAAAGAGACAGAGAGGAAGGCAACATGACAGCCTTTGTGCATAATAACGTCAATAAAGTGTCATGCATTGTGCAATGCTAAAAAAACATTCCTTAGAAATATGTATGGCAAAATTATGTCCCATTTCTGTGAGAATAGTCTTACCTTCCTTTGGTCTGTGTACTTTCTTTGGTTTTTCTTTGTTCTACACAAGACCTATAAATATTTATTTATTTCCATTTTCAATTTTGTTTTAAGAATTGGAATTTTAGGTCATTTTTTCATTTCCTGCAGTCTTCTGAATTATGTATTCTATATCTACAATTCATAACAATAAAAGGGAATTAATATATCTCAAATACAAAATAGCCCTGAACTCAGCCCAGCCAACTATTAGTCAGCTATCAAATGTGTATGAAGTCACTTGTTATTATGAAATATAAAACATACAAACAAACAGAAAATCTGAATATTAAAAAAAATCTACAGTAATGGAGAGCATAACACCACAGGAAAAAGTTAAATGTAATTTGGTGATTCTGTGAGGGTTAGCTGTTTAAGTATTAACACAATTCAATTTGTTATGATCAGCAAAAATACCAGATTCCTGACCTTAGAGATTCCAGTTTACAATGTGGATCTTTCAGTCCTTCAGAGAAAAGCTTCGCTCCTAAATCCTGCAGGTCGTTGTTACTTAGGTCCAGCTCTCTGAGACTAGAGGACTGGAAGTTGAGAACAGAGGACAGTGCTGCACAGCTTCTTCCTGAGAGATTACAGCCATCCAGTCTGAAAAGCAATATTTGTGATAAGAGTAAATTACTGTAGACGTAGACAAAAGAAGAGAAAAAAGAAATTTCTATACCCACTTCACGGCTAAAAAAAAAAAACAACTAAAATTTGAGTTGGAGCAAAAATGAAATATTTTAAATTTCCTTTGTGAAAAAACAATTAAATCACTCTGTCTAAATACTCCTTTTGGCATAGTCAAAAGGCACTATTTGTCACTTTCCAATAGAATGCAATAGAAAAATAAAAACTCCTGGAAGTTTGCGTGATATTCTTGCAAAAGCATTTAAAATAAAAACCATAAACAAGCAAACAAACAAACAAAGGAACAAATAAATACATATAACACTTACATAAGTATTTACAACCATGAAACTAAAAATTGAGCTCAGGTGTATTCTGTTAACATTGATACAGTTATCTGTCAGATATATCTAAAAGTTGAATAGAGTCCACCTGTTGATTGGGTATGATTCATAAAGGCACTTGCTGGTCTATAAAAGGTCCCATAGGTGACAGTGTGCATTTCAGAGCAAAAACAGGGAGGTAACCAAAAATCCAGTGTTGACTCTAACAAAGTAGAAGAGCGGAGAATGTTCTAGAATGACAAACATTCATACAGTAATCCACCACTCTGTCTTTATGGTAGTTGCCAGATTAAAGCACTCCTCAGTTAAAAAGACTATGATATGCAACCAAATTTGTGATTCGTAATTATCTTTGCTAATTCTGTTTTGTTCTGTATTAATCAAAGCCATATAAATTCGTTTGTCCAGCAAAGAGCCTCATGAACCTTTCAAATAGCTATAATCATGACAGAGAATAGTTTCAGCAAGCAACAACAGCAAGCCTCACTTTAGAGCATGTCCATTGCAATTGTGAATTCATAAACTAAGTCATCTGTAAACTTTTGGAAACTTAAAAATAAAATCTTTTTGATTTAACTTGAACCTTTTTTTACCTTATGGAAAGAATCCATTTTAAGTTTTTTCTATTTGCACATTATTTCTTTTGTTTAAAGAATACTAGCATTTCAGTTTGTATTAAATCATATTTTGATTTATATTATTTTTATTTTGATAGTCCTATTAGGTAATGTTCAAAATAAATTATTATTTTAAAATTCATATGTTTCCTGGGCTATTGTTTTAATTTTCTGTGGTACAAGACAACAGAGAAATATTCACAGGTGGGCAGACTTGAGCAGGTGAGATACTGGAGCCTAGAAATGGAGGCTTGCCCACAGGAATTAATTAATTTGAAAAAAATAACGCGTTAAAAAAATTAACGCATTTAATCGCACTTAGCATTCCAAGCAAAGAGGAACTTTTGGCAATGCATGATTTCTTAGTATACCGATTATACTGATACGGCTACAAAAATGGAAGAATCTGAAGAAAGTGCATTGATCGGAGGCTAATTTAATTTCAAAAGACTACCAGACGGAAGCCTTGATAAAAGTGTGGTGTTGTGCAAACTGTGCAAAAAGGAGTTTGCATACCACGGAAGCACTTCAACCTTATGGTACCATCTAATGCAAAACATGTTGCAGAGCTGTTAGCACTAGCAGTCCGAGTACCAACAAAACGTGTTGGCAGCCCAAACTTGAGGACTGGCTTCAGGACCAAAATTAGTAAGTCAACATTGGACAAAATTACAAATTCTTTTGCAAAATGGATTGCTCTGGACTGTAGACCACTATCAGTTGTAGAAGATAGGGGGTTAGAAAATGTGCTACAGTTAGTGTCATATGATCCAACTTTCCAACTACCGTGTCAAAAGGCTTATTTTACGACGCCGCTAATATATAGGAAGTACACTAGGAGCAAACAAGACTGGGGCAACAGAAAGAGCCAGGATGTTTCCACACGGTGGAATTCAACGTTGGGTATGGTTTCTCGTCTACTAAGGAATCAAGAGACTGTTTTTACTGCTTTAGAAAAACAAAAGCACAAGCTACAGTTGTTGCCAAAAGTTTTGAGAATTACATAAATATTGGAAATTGGAAAAACTGCTGTTTAAGTTTTTATAATAGCAATTTGCATATACTCCAGAATGTTATGAAGAGTGATCAGATGAATTGCATAGTCCTTCTTTGCCATGAAAATTAACTTAATCCCAAAAAAACTTTTCCACTGCATTTCATTGCTGTCACTCAAGGACCTGCTGAGATCATTTCAGTAATCGTCTTGTTAACTCAGGTGAGAATGTTGACGAGCACAAGGCTGGAGATCATTATGTCAGGCTGATTGGGTTAAAATGGCAGACCTAACATGTTAAAAGGAGGCTGATGCTTGAAATCATTGTTCTTCCGTTGTTAACCATGGTGACCTGCAAAGACAGGTGTGCAGCCATCATTGTGTTGCATAAAAATGGCTTAACAGGCAAGGATATTGTGGCTATTAAGATTGCACCTAAATCAACAATTTATAGGATTATCAAGAACTTCATGGAAAGAGGTTCAATTCTTGTTAAGAAGGCTTCAGGGCATCCAAGAAAGTCCTAAAGAGGATTCAGCTGCGGGATCGGAGTGCTCAGGAATGGCAGCAGGCAGGTGTGAGCCCATCCGCACGCACAGTGAGGCAAAGACTTTTGGAAGATGGCCTGGTGTCAAGAAGGGCAGCAAAGAAGCCACTTCTCTCCAAAAAAACAACAACAGGGACAGATTGATCTTCTGCAGAAAGTATGGTGAATGGACTGCTGAGGACTGGAGCAAAGTCATATTCTCCGATGAAGCTTCTTTCCAATTGTTTGGGGCATCTGGAAAAAGGCTTGTCCAGAGAAGAAAAGGTGAGCGCTACCATCAGTCCTGTGTCATGCCAACAGTAAAGCATCCTGAGACTATTCATGTGTGGGGTTACTTCTCATCCAAAGGAGTGGGCTCACTCACAGTTTTGCCCCAAAACACAGCCATGAATAACTAATGTTACCAAAACACCCTCCAACAGCAACTTCTTCCAACAATCCAACAACAGTTTGGTGAAGAACAATGCATTTTTCAGCACAATGGAGCACCGTGCCATAAGACAAAAGTGATAACTAAGTGGCTCAGGGAACAAAACGTTGAAATTTTGGGTCCATGGTCTGGAAACTCCCCAGATCTTAATCCCATTGAGAATTTGTGGTCAATCCTCAATCCTGGGTGGACAAACAAAAACCCACCAATTCTGACAAACTCTAAGAAGTGATTATGACAGAATGGGTTGCTATCAGTCAGGATTTGGCCCAGAAGTTGATTGAGACCTGAAAAAGAAGGGCCAACACTGCAAATACTGACTCTTTGCATAAATATCATGTAATTGTTGATAAAAGCCTTTGAAACGTATGAAGTGCTTGTAATTATATTTCAGTATATCACAGAAACAACTGAAACAAAGCTCTAAAAGCAGTTTAGCAGCAAACTTTGTGAAAATTAATATTTGTGTCATTCTCAAATCTTTTGGCCACGACTGTAGTCATTTTAACTCCATCAGAGCTGGTAAAACTCCAAAAGCTGGCGACTGTCCTTAATCTTTTTAGGGACAGGAACCAGGCAGGACATCTTCCAGAGTGATGGGACTCTCTGCATTACCAGACTCGTGTTGAAGATCCGATGTAGAACTCCAGACAGCTGGGAAGCACAGCACCTGAGGGCCCTGGGCCCTGGGCTTTGCTGGAGTGGAGTCTGCCCAATTCTCTTTTGATGTTATCTGCTGAGAGGGACAGGGTGAGACAGTCTGAGGGGGCAGGAGAGGGGGGAGGAGAAAGGAGGAGATGGGAAGAGCTGGGTGTGGAGACAGGAGACACAGGGCAGTCAAATCGATTGAAGTGTAGATTTAGGTTGTTAGCACTTTCGACGTCCCCATCCATCCCAACACCTCTCTTTTGTTTCAGGCCAGTAATGGCCCGCATTCCATTCCACACCTCCCTGGTGTTGTTTTCCTGCAGTTTGTTTTCCAGCTTCCTTCTGTAGGACACTTTACCCTCTGCAATCTTGGCTTTCAGCTCCTTCTGCACCAGTTTCAGCTGATCTCTTTCACCGTTTCTGAAAGCTCTTTTTTTCTTGTTCAGGGTTGCTTTGATGTCTTTGGTAACTCAGAGCTTATTGTTGGGGAAGCACAGAATGTTTTTTTGGGAACCACAGTGTCCACACAGAAGTTGATATAATCTGTAACACAGCCTGTCAGATTGTCAATATTGTCCTGATGAGAATCACAAAGAACATCCCAGTCAGTTGACTCAAAGCATCCCTGCAGGGTCTCTTTTGACTCCTTTGTCCATGTTGGAGGTACTTAGTGTTGACATCTGAATTATTCTGGAAAGATAACACTGAAGGATGGAGAGAGAGTTATGCTCCAACGATTACAAAGTTTCTCCACTACAGGGACAAATGAAAGATAATCTATACTTAGTGGAGGGAAAAATATGTTTTTATCTGTTAGCACTTTCTATTACAGCTAGGTAATAAAGGGGTAATAGTAGGGTAACAAGGGGACACAAGAGGGTTATTACTATGCAATTACCAAAGTCATAACTATGTAATATTCAAGTAATATCATGGCAGCAACAGTGGTTACAGTTGAGTAATATTAGCCTGACCCATGACTGACACCCTCATCACCACTGTGGAGTCATTCCGCTTCCTGGGTATCACCATCACCCAGGACCTCAAGTGTGACACCACTATCGTCTCCGTCATAAAGAAGGCCCAGCAGAGGATGTACTTCCTGAGGCAGCAGAAGAAAATTCAATCTGCCAACATGGATGATGATGCAGTTCTACACTACAATCATTGAGTTCATCCTCACCTCCTCCAACACCGTGTAGTATGCTGGAGTCACCATCAGGGACAAACAGAGACTGCAGCGTGTTGTGCGCTCTGCTAAGAAGGTGATTGGCCACAGACTCCCATCTCTGCAGGACCTATACACCTCCAGGACACTGGGGCGTACAGCTCACATCACAGCTGACCCTTCTCACCCTGGACAGAGTCTGTTTGACATGCCCCCCTAAGGCAGGAG